TTCTTGATCCATACTATAAATTAGGGAGTTGGTATTTATCCCCAAATATTCGAGACGAACAGAATGAGAAATATAATTACAACCTTCCAATAAGTCTATCAAACCAATGGGACAATAACATTTTAATTTGCTACCTTTTTAAAAAATATTAACGCAAAATAACTGGATGCGAAATAATACTTTAAATTCCTGCACGTGGAATCATATTTCCACAATAAAACTCTATTTAAAGTTTTGACTAAGTTATGATAACTATATCCCTTCTGTACTATATTTTGTAATGAAAATATTAGATTCGTTGACTCCGAGACTTCACTGTAAACACATCGCATTTTGAACCAAGTGAGAGATAGGAGCCGACGGAAAATCACCAACAATGAAAGGAAAAGTCGTCACGTTATTCATAAATTTTTGGAATGGATATTGCCATGTCTAATATCAATATTAAAAATGGATAGTGGACACTATAAATGTTTGATTTTATAATAGTATATTAAACAAGAGGCTCTCAAGAGCCTGAATCGCTCACCTGTTATTTTTTTGCTTAAATCTTTCATCAATGATTATTTTTGCTTTTCAATATATATTAATGAGTGGCTTAAAAATGCCATTTAAATGTTCATTGTATCTGTCATATTTTCTCCAAAAGCAAATAAATGCATGCTACCCATATGTTCTTTTTGAGCCATAGTGTCTATGTTTCTTGACGTACAAGGAAATAAAATACAAAATTTATACTAGATTCATTTGAGAAGATTTTTAAAGTTAAAAACATAAACAACTTGTGTAAAAGTGTAAAGGACAATAACTCCTTAAGGAGTCAATTGACAATTTTGGTCATTAAACTTTTTTGTAGATCTTACTTTGCTGAACATTTTTGATATTTACAGTTTATCTTTATCTCCGATAGAATTCAAGATAATAACCAAAAACTGCAAAATTTCCTTAAAATAACCAATTTAGTGGCAGCAACCCAATAATGGGTAGTTTGGTTTGTCTGAAAATTTCAGGGCTGATAGATCTTGACTTTTTAAACATTTTTATCACATGTCAGATTTGCTCTAAATGACTTAGTTTCTGAGATATAAGCCAAAAACTGCATTTGACCCCTATGTTATATTTTTAGCCATGGCGGCCATGTTTGTCAATGGATCAAAACTTCGGATACAATTTTTAAATTAAATACCCTAAGGAACATATGTATGATTTGAATTTATATTCAATTGAAGAATTATTGCTGTTGTGCAATACAATGTGCTGTTGTGCAATACAATTGTGACCCGCATTTTTTTTCTTTGGAAAATTGACAATTTCTTAAATTTTGAGGGAAAAAAAAGTGACCCCCCCAAAAAAAAATTAAAATAAAATTTATTATCCCCCCCAAATTTTTTTTTACCCCCCTCCAAAAAAAAATAATGAAGAGAATTTTCTTTTGAGGAAAAAAAATAGCCCCCCCCCCAAAAAAAAAAGAACAGCCCCCCCCCCCCCCCCTTTTTCCCAAAAAATTAATTTTGAAGAAATTTTCTATTTGTAAAATGTGGTACAAATTAAGAGACATCCATACACTTAAACACAAGTTATTGTCTGAAAACTAGAAAAATGCTTATTTTAGACCCTTTTTGGCCCCCAATTCCTGAACGGTTTGGGCAATTACCCCCAAAATGAATCCCAACCTTCTACTTGTGGTATTGAACTTTGTGGTACAATTTCAGAGCAATCAAAATACTTATATACACAAATTATTGTCCTGAAACTAGAAAAATGCTTGTTTTGGCCCCTAATTCCTATACGGTTGGGACCATCACCCCCAAAAACAATCCCAACCTTCCTTTTGTGGTATTGAACCTTTTGGTTAAATTTCATAGAGATCCATACACTTAAAGTTATTGTCCGGAACCAAATGTCTTCGGACGACGCTGACGCCGACGACGACGACGACAACGACGACGACGTGATACAAATATACGACGTATAAAAATCATGGGTTTTTTTTCGGCAAATATATTAAACAGTTATAACTACTAAATATATTTGCAGAAGAAGAAAAAACAATTTTAGAGTTACAATGAAAAATAACACAATCGTTCCGCATCTTTAGTCGGACTCTGTCTTCTTATTCTATAAGGCGGTTCGTCCATTTAAATTTTTAGCTTGTTATTGATTTCAAATGAGCAGATCTCATTGAGCCGTTGCATTTAGTAATACACGAGTTTGAATGTTAAATGAAATCTTTTTAGTTGTAAAAGAAGAGGCAGCTGAACTATATACACAATAACCATAATCAATTTTTCATCCAATCAAAGATAAATATTTTTTCTAAGCGTATGACTGTACGCCCGAACTTGTTCCTGTAACTTCATACAATTTATAACTTTCATGCTCTTATTTTGTAATTTTGAATATGCTTATACAAAGTTCATGCAGTTGCTGTCAAAAATCAATCCTAAATAGATGCTGATCCAGGATTTTGAGGGCCCGTTATTCCGCCCAACGATCATTACATATAGAAGCTGCTTTTTCCACCCTCAATAAATGTTTCCCAGATACTATTATATTAAAGCAATAGACTAACTTTATTTGGCGTATGGTATGATTGTAAAGTTTACATAGAAAAACAAAGGATATGGGGTAGCCATCCATGACACTAAATCAATTCATGCACAGCAAAAAAAAAAACAACAAAAAAACACACACACAAAAAGCAAAAGGAACAGCGCTTTTATTGCTGTACTGCATCTCAAAGTCACAGTGATGCCTTCAACACGAAGCAAAAAACTCTCACCTCCCTGCAATTTTAAGACGCTCCCTAGCACCGGTTTGAGAGACATGTCTGTCTGGCAGGGTTCATATGACCTTTACCTCATTTACATTTTACTCTTTGTGCTTAATTTAAAGATTTTAATTTTTTGTATAATACTACGTATCAATATGTCAGCAATATAAGGCATTTTCCAGTACATAATTTCAAGATTGTGTAGTGTATTTGTCCATCAGTGCCAATATTGTTGATAATGTTATACCATTGAAAACTAGTTTCGTTGTTATATTGGTGCTCTTTGATGAAATGTTTTTTTCCCAATTTTGACTTTTTTTCAAATTTTTATTTTTCATTCAAAATTTAAATTGAGCACGATTCGCTGTAAATCCATTTACAGGTAAATTTCAATAATACCTATTGCCAAAAAATAATGTTTCTTCAACAGGAAATTATTTACCTGTATACAAATTTTGAAAAATATCAAATGTTGGAGAAACATGAACATACCAAGAGAATTACGATAATGTCTGTGGTGTAAAAGAACATTGTTGAAAACGAATACCATTTTGTTTTAGTTTGTCCTGTAAACAGATGTGCAAGGTAACTTTATTTAACAAAATACTACTGTTGGTCAAAAATCTATAAATCAAATTAATTGTTGAAAAGCTGCCAATAAAACTCTGACTATATAACTGTGTTATTATCTGAAGTCAGCATGGAAATTAAGATGTCATACTATTAATTATCATTGTATAATGTGTGATGTTCTCTGCTGTTTATAATTGTGTCAAATTTGTGATATATATTCTGATTTCTACAGCATGCTTATGCTTGTTGCAAATAAATTCGTACATTCATTTTGTATATTGCATGTGAAAGTGAAATAGTGATTTTTGAAATTTTCCCAAACTTGCTTTTCAGGCAAGTTGTGATAAGAATGTAAAAAACCTTAAATTGACACCTATGATGCAAGAGCCAACACAACTAGCTGATCAGTGCATGCTCTCCATCATACATCTGTTACTATCTTAATTCAATATAAATGAGGGTGTGGATGGGGGTTTCCAGAACATAATAGAGAATAACGGGCACAATTTTTAAGATACAAAGAATAGAGAAAAATGGACCAAAAAAAATAAAGAATAGAGGATAATGAGGTGCTAAAATATAAAGAATAATGGGCAAAAAAGTATAAAGAATAGAGAAAAATGGCCTAAAAATTAAAGAATACAGAACTGAAGGAACCCCCATCAAGACCCTCATAAATATTAGTCCTGACACATATTATCTGCATGATTAACATCATTGTGACATGTGTACCGTCTTAATAAAATCTTGTGTCTAATAAAACTTATAGCACATAAAGATGATAGCTACATGGCACCATTCATAATAATTAGATAAAAGGGATGTTTATCTTATCAGATGTAATTTATGACCCATTGACATATCTCTGTGTCGGGCTTATTACTACCCGGATGAAATTTCATTCCATCAACTTAATATTAGACTTGACCCATACCACTGCAGTGACATGGTAGCCACTCATCATAGTACACAGGGAGCAAGGATTTGTATTTTAATAAACCCTTGACAGTAGTTAACGATTTTACAGGTCTACAGAGCACACCCACATCTTTAACATACTTGTGTCGGTTCATATACAGGTACTTAATTTGAATTATAGTTATTACAGTATTGTTTAACTTAATTTTCTTATTAGTTATAGTGTTCACAATTATACACTGTCGTTGGAGCCGGGGATGGGCTATGGGGTAATTGCAAACAAAACTTATTATAAAGGACACAGTCCGTAGGCGGATCCAGGTGGGGGGGTGGGGGGCTGGGGGGCCCGGGCCCCCCCTTTCGTGGGAAAAATTTGGTTGATTATATAGGGAATCACTGAAGCATGACTGGAGCGGCCCCCCTTAGGTCAGTCAGCGCCCCCCTCCCCCCCTTATGAAAAGTTCTGTATACGCTACTGCAGTCACTGACTCTCTACTAGTTGGCTAAAAGCTTCTTTTTTTTTTTTCGCTTCTCACTTTCAGAAGTATTTTTTGTCAATTTGCGATAGCTGTGGTCTGCAAATTGTCAAAAATTATCGTAAGGACCGATGCAGCTACAAAATAACTAGCAATAATACTTATTATCATTGTACGGATACATTGAATAATTTGGTGTATTTTCACATCCGTTTTTCCTCGTTATCCACCTGTCGCCGGCTTTGGTTTTAAATTTAGAAATTTTCCCGAAAAAGTCTGCAAACTGTTACAGAAAAGGAGCGGCCACTCAGATTACCAAACTGTCTATTGTTTTAATGACCACCGACTGTAAACATTAAGGTATAAATCTATTTTTTGCAAATATATCTATTCTAATTTATCTGCAGAAATTTTCACAGAAACAAAATTCTGGGACCTAGCCTCGCGCCATCTTTTACACAAAACTATCATCTCGGCCACCCAGGTGTATTCTTCATCTTTGTTTCTTGTAGAACGGAAAGTTGAATGAAAACATATTTTGCGCTATGTTAACTAGACGGAATGATTGTTTTTTCGTGTTTTTTTTTTTATTAAAATTTGTTCATGTCTGCTTATATTTATAATTAAAATCACTCCATGTGGCAATGATATGTGAACACTATTCATGTCAACATTAGCACACCATGGACCAGTTTAATGCTTTTAACCTGGGACCTAATAAATCTTTATTAACCTCAGTATTAACATCCTTTTAAGGTCAGGCTTACAGGATATCTTAATAACAAAACAAACTGGTAAATTTGAAAGTTTCACCCAACGAAAATGTCTGTGATAACTTAAACTGAAAAGCGTTATTACAGACATTGTTTCTTTGTACAATAACACACATATGTTATTTCAACATAATTCATGACAGGAGGAAATAAACGTATGCCTGTTATTTTCTGTAATAACTTGTTTAAGTTATAGGTACCCTTGACTGATTATTGTGAACCAAATGAAACTTTTCCGCAGTGTCATCTCCTATTGGTCAATCTTTTTAAACTTTTGTCAGTTCTTTTTTCCCATTGAATAAACACAATAGCTATTGTTCTCTGTGCAGTTTATTCACTGGGACCTTTAAATTTCTTCTAAGAGAAATTCATCACTCATTGATTAATTTACCTGAGTAAAAAAAATATCTTCTAAACAGGGGATGTGTTTGACATATAAAAACTGGAAAATGATGATGTTTAAATTAAGGCCTTCTTAAATGTAGTCTATAACTGAACAATAACCAAAAAATGCAAATTTTAATAGGAAAAATGCTAAAATTTTGGTCAGAAATCAACTTTTTATGATTAAATCAGTGTTTACCCTGAACAGATTGAAAATATATTATTGATATTTAATAAATACAACATCACATGCAGTTTTGTGAGTTGAAACATGTATTTTCATGATGAAAATTTCATCTATTTAAAAGATAATTTTTTACTCAGGTAAATTAATCAATGAGTGATGGATTTTTCTTAGAAGAAATTTAAAGGTACCAGTGAATAAACTACATTGACTGATTTGGAAAATTTTCATTTGGTTCGAAATAAAAGGAGGCGGCTAATACCAAAGGGGTAATTACAACTCATAATGATAAGTTGACGAAAAACAAGCAAAATAAACCATCAGTCTACAAAACACTGCATAGATAAGATGTACAGTAATATGTAAATAGCAAAACTAAACAATGATCCCAATTAACTAGGTTCTCGGACACTATGATATATATATGTTGAGGGATAGTCCTGGGACTTATCGCACAATCAGTCAGATTGATCGTTGTTTGCTTAACCTTCAGTCGCAAATATTTCTTGACAATCATTCAGTTGGACAGCAATTCATATAACCAATAATCAATCTTGTTGATGAATTCTAAACACAAGTATTGATACTGTACAGATGATTTCATCAATGGTTTCCACATTTGGTCATTCATATTACCTTTCGAGTGAATAAAGCAGATGAAGGCACACTCTGAAAACTGATATTTAATTCAAATTAGACAAAAATATATATGAATCTTCAGTAATTGAAAGAATAAGTAAGAGTGGATATGTTGGTTGTCTCAGAACATATTTATAGCTATTGTATATGTGAACAACTGATTTATTTCAGATAGCTTGACTTAGTACAGGGCGAGGCACAAAATGTTATGGGTTTACAAGTTTGATATGCACACACACTCCCCCATTGCCAATCTAGACCATAAAACACACAATGAAAAAACCTGCACAGTACAACTACCAACAGATGACTGCTAACTGTGAATTTGTGTCGATATGTACCAGTATCAAATTCTTTATAATTTCAAGTATTTTTTAAAAATCTATACTTTGATATGTAATACATGTATCAAAAATGTCATAATTAGACACTCATTTCTTTTTATTCTGGATAAGGGATTAAGATAAACTTTTGAAATATTTTAACATGAAGTTTTTTTTAATGGTCTAACAACAAAGAATTTACACTCTATGCTATTAAGCAATTCCCTATTTAGGATAAGATAAAGATGTTTTATTTTCTTACAAAATTTATTCTTTACCTTAACAGTGTTATTTACCAAAAAAAAAAGGTATAAACAGGATTTTAAACATTTTTTGATAAATGGAGTTAGTAGGATTACCCTCACCTTTTTATGCCCCTGCCTTGGTTGTGGGGGCATAAAGTGTTACAATTGACCATCCTTCCATCTGTCCCATTTTCGTGTCCATGCTCTGACTTAAGTTTGCAAGATGCAAATTTTATGAAACTTGTACACAATTCTGAGAACCACAACAGGCAGACATACTAATTTGGGCAGTGAGTCATTTATCGATATAGAGGTATGCCCTTTTTAATTGAAAAATTGCAACACATGAGCGGGGGTATTCATGTCCTCAGACACATTCTTCTTTTATTTAATTCAAATATTATGTGACTGATTTAATGTTAATATTGATTGATTGATTGATTGGTGATTGCTTAAAGCCACATCACCACAAAAAGGCAATACCTAATTTGAATAATTAATATATGAAAAGCCAACTAAGTGTCTTATAAATATGAACTGTAATACTAAATACTAAAGGAAACTGGACAATGTTCTACAAAGTCAAGCTCTGAGTTAATTTCACATAAAAATAATAGGATGAGAGCAAGGCTGCATACAGATACAATAGTTATCCCTATTCACAAACAAACTATTCATCCTGGTCATGTATGCACCAAATGATGCAAAGACACTTTAATTGGTTACAGATTATGTTTTGTAGTTCCATCCCCCTCCCCCCTCCCCCCCTCTTTTTTTAGCTCACCTGGCCCAAAGGGCCAAGTGAGCTTTTCTCATCACTTGGCGTCCGTCATCGTCCGTCGTCGTTAGCTTTTTACAAAAATCTTCTCCTCTGAAACCACTAGGCCAAATTTAACCAAACTTGGCCACAATCATCATTAGGGTATCTAGTTTAAAAAATGTGTCCGATGACCCCGCCAACCAACCAAGATGGCTGCCATGGCTTAAAATAGAACATAGGGGTAAAATGAAGATTTTGGCTTATATCTCTGAAACCAAAGCATTAAGAGTAAATCTGTTAAAGGTAAAACTGATTATCAGGTCAAGATCTATCTGCCCTGAAATTTTCAGACAAATCTGACAACCTGTTGTTGGGTTGCTGCCCCTGAATTGGTATTTTTAAGGAAATTTTGCAGTTTTTGGTTATCTTGAATATTATTATAGATAGAGATAAACTGTAAACAGCAATAATGTTCAGCAAAGTAAGATCTACAAATAAGTCGCCATGACCAAAATTGTCAGTTGACCCCTTTAGGAGTTATTGCCCTTTATAGTCAATTTTTAACAATTTTTCGTAAATTTTTGTAATCTTTTACAAAAATCTTCTGCTTCTCTGAAACTACTGAGACAAATTTAACAATACTTGGCCATAATCATTATAAGGGTATCTAGTTTAAAAAATTTGTCCAATGACCCCGCCTTCCAACCATCATGGCCGACTTGGTTAAAAATAGAACATAGGGGTAAAATGCAGTTTTTGGTTTATATCTCTGAAACTAAAGCATTTAGAACAAATCTGACAGGTGGCAAAAATGTTCATCAGATTTAGATTTATCTGCCCTGAAATTTTCAGACGAATCCGACAACCCGTTGTTGGGTTGCTGCCCCTGAGTTAGTAATTTTACAGAAATTTTACAGTTTTTTGTTATTATCTTAGATATCATTATAATATCTAATATCTAATACTATTAATTATGATTTTAACCTTATTTTACATGATTTCCAAAGCATCAGTAAATACAGGTGAGCGACACAGGCTCTTGAGAGCCTCTAGTTTTTTAGCTCAGCTGCTCAGTGAGCCATTGTAATAAATTTTGGCTCACAGAATTCAATTTTACTAAAATTTATAGATGTCTACAAGTACTCTAATACTCGATTGTCGCTTGGTAGAACTTTGAATACCAATATCATGGCAATATGATACTAGACTTATCCTTTTCCTGTTAGGACATTGTACCCTTCTTTTGATAATAAAAATGATTTTCTTATGCACTACTCTAAACCCAAAGCAGCACAAGTTACTATAAAGTGAAACCCTTTATCTTTGACATATTGTTTGAATCATGGTGCATCTGTTAATTTTTGTTTGTTAAGTTCATGTTATTTTTATTTAATTGATGTGTTCTTGCTTCTATTTATATGATCTGTCAATAACAGCATGAACAGTAGTTGATATATGCTTTCCGTCTATTCACATTTTTCACATAAGAATAGAAGGAAAACATGTATATCACTGCTGTTATTGTAAGATTGTATAAATAGCAACAAGAACACATAAAATAACCAAAAAACAATTTTATATTTATAGAATAACTAATCGAAGAATTCAAATAGAGAAAAATATTCAACGAGTGACCGAACAACACATTAATTCACGAATGCGCGTAGCGCATGAGTTAATTATCAGTGTTGTTCGGTCACGAGTTGAATATTTTTCGATATTTGAATTCTTTGATTAGTTATTCTTTTTATTACATTGGCAAATGGCTTTTTTTATGAAATTAAAGTAGAAAATGTAAGGAACTATATCGTTTTCTACGCATTCACAATTTGTTTTGATCCGACGTTTTCAACGTCTTGACAACGCCTATTGTTGTATGACGTCAGAGGAGTGAAATAACCACGTTTATTTCACATGTGAAATTATCGGTTTTTATTTCACTGGGAAATCAATGTAATTCATTGCAACCAATGTAATAATTAATTTTAATTTACTAAAAACAAATTTAAACATGAAAATTAAGTATAAAAGAAAGGGTTCAATGCTCTAAGTGCCTGTGAGTAAAACAGAACTTGACTTCTTGTTTAATAGGTGTTTCGTAAGGACAAATTGATAATGATCACTTAAAAATGTTTTACTATAATTTCAACTTGTGAGTGCTTGTAGGAAAGCAATTTATCAAACTTCTGTTTTGATTTTACTACTTAAGATAGTACTAAATGTGGAAGAATAGGGTGGATTCACAATTTCTGGGGGACCAATTTAGGCAGTAAACTTCTATCCAGTCTGGTGGCTGAGAGGTCTAAGTACCAGTAGCCAACTATAGCTACTGTATCACTAGTCTGTCAACTCTGAGGTTGTGAGTTTGAATCCCACACGTGGCAGGTTTGCTCTACTCCAATCTTCCTTGACTAATTATATATATATAAGGATTGTCAGTTTTCCTACCGAAGGTCATGGTTCTCTCCTGGCACTTCGGCTTCCTTCACAATTAAAAACTGACTGCCACAAAATAGCACAATAGTGCTGAAAGTGGTGTTAAATACCAATCAATCAATCTATCCAGTCGAATTAAACCAACGATTTGTAGAAATACGACTGAAACAAAAGCTTTACTCATTTTTGTTGAGCCTGAGACTTTTGTCGCGGAAAGCTTGACATAAGGATAGTGATCCGGCGGTGGCGTTAGCTAACTTCTTAAAATCTTAATATTTCAGAAGGTTTAAGACCTGGATGCTTCATACTTTGTATATAGATGCCTTATGATATGAAGTTTCCGTCTGTCATATGTCCATTGTCCTTGACCTCATTTTCATGGTTCAGTGAATACTTGAAAAAAAAAGTTTCAGATTTTTTGTAATTTTAATTTCTCTAGAATAACTATATTTGGTTTGTGCGTACCTTGCAAGGTCCTCATGTCTGTCGGACAGTTTTCACTTGACCTTGACCTCATTGTATGGATCAGTGAACAAGGTTAAGTTTTTGTGTTTTGGTCTGTTTTCTAATATTGTATGCAATAGGTCAACTATATTTGGTGTATGGAAATATTTTACAATGTACATGTCAGCCTTGCAGGTTTTATTTGACCTTAACCTCATTTTCATGGTTCATTGCTCAATGTAAAGTTTTTGTGTTTTGGTTTGTTTTTCTAATACTGTTTGCAATAGGTCAACTATATTTGGTGTATGGAAATATTTTACAATGTACATGTCAGTCTGCCAGGTTTTATTTGACCTTGACCTCATTTTCATGGTTCATTGCTCAATGTTAAGTTTTTGTGTTTTGGTCTGTTTTTCTTAAACGTTAAGCAATAGGTCAACTATGTTTGGTGTATAAAATGATTGTAAGGTGTATATGTTTGCCTGGCAGGTATCATCTGACCTTCACCTCATTTTCATGGTTCATTGGTCAATATTCAGTTTTCCTGGTTAACTTTGTTTCTTAGATACTATAAGTAATAGGTCAACTATATTTGATGCATGGAATGATTTTAAGGTGTACATGTCTGTCTGGCAGGGTTCATCTGACCTTGACCTCATTTTCATGGTTCATTTGTCAATATGAAATTTCCATGGTTTAGTCTGTTTCTTTTATATTACAATGTATAAGCAATAGGTTATCTATAATCGGTGTATGGAATGATTGTATTAAAGGTGTATATGTATTTCCAGCTTGGTTTATCTGACCTTGACCTCATTTTCTTGGATCATAAATTTTAATGTGATACTTGTAGTAAAACTTTATATTGCGACTATCAACATAAAATCAATGTTCAGTATAGGAGTCGAGACATTTCAGCGTGTGCACTCTTATTCAAATTATAGTGTGTTGATTATTTATTATGAAAGAAAGAATGACATGTTCACACAAAGGATGGGCACAGGGGTTTATCTAGAAGTTTACCTCCTAAAGCCAAGATTTTACTATATCACACAAAGGATGGGCACAGGGGTTTATCTAGAAATTACCTCCTTAAGCCTAGATTTTACTATATCACACAAAGGGTGGGCACAGGGGTTTATCTAGAAGTTTACCTCCTAAAGCCTAGATTTTACTATATCACACAAAGGGTGGGCACAGGGGTTTATCTAGAAGTTTACCTCCTTAAGCCTAGATTTTACTATATCACACAAAGGGTGGGCACAGGGGTTTATCTAGAAGTTTACCTCCTAAAGCCTAGATTTTACTATATCACACAATGGGTGGGCACAGGGGTTTATCTAAAAGTTTACCTCCTAAAGCCTAGATTTTACTATATCACACAAAGGATGGGCACAGGGGTTTATCTAGAAATTACCTCCTTAAGCCTAGATTTTACTATATCACACAAAGGATGGGCACAAGGGGTTTATCTAGAAGTTTACCTCCTAAAGCCTAGATTTTACTAAATCACCCAAAGGGTGGGCACAGGGGTTTATCTAGAAGTTTACCACCTAAAGCCTAGATTTAACTATATCACACAAAGGATGGGCACAGGGGTTTTTCTAGAAGTTTACCTCCTAAAGCCTAGATTTTACTATATCACACAAAGGATGGGCACAGGGGTTTATTTAGAAGTTTACCTCCTAAAGCCTAGATTTTACTATATCACACAAAGGGTGGGCACAGGGGTTTATCTAGAAGTTTACCTCCTAAAGCCTAGATTTTACTATATCACATAAAGGGTGGGCACAGGGGTTTTTCTAGAAGTTTACCTCCTAAAGCCTAGATTTTACTATATCACACAAAGGGTGGGCACAGGGGTTTATCTAGAAGTTTACCTCCTAAAGCCTAGATTTTACTATACATGTATCACACAAAGGATGGACACAGGGGTTTATCTAGAAGTTTACCTCCTAAAGCCTAGATTTTACTATATCACACAAAGGATGGGCACATGGGTTTATCTAGAAGTTTACCTCCTAAGCCTAGATTTTACTATATGCAACTGAATTTAGAATTGTTAAGCATTGGAGAAAGTAGTTCCCATGGTATCTGATGGTGATTTGTTTAATGTTTACATCTTATTATGGTGTACATGTACATCTATTCATATCATAACATTTTTATTCAATAATTTTGCAATAATTTTGCACTAAATGAAATATATAAAAGACATTTTTTTCCATATATTTTAGAATCAGAAATGGATGACACTTCAAGGTTAAAGGCTCCTAGGAAACTTAAATTGACAAAGCCAAGACCAAGAACAAAAGGTTAGTCAAATTTTTTTCAAACAAAAGGATTAAGTAATGTACATTGTATGTAACAGCTGTGGAGTAGTTTTAACAAATAATCATGTCTGGCAGAACCATACAGTTTACTTGCTTCCGTGTCCTATGTTGTATCATTTACTGTAATTCCTTTCAAATTATTACTACTAGGAACAAGTGAAATTATGGGAAAGTCATGGTCTTTCAGATCTTTCAATCCTTTGACCAGTTGAATAAATCACCCAAGAGACAGAGACAGACTCCCCTTGCTAAGTAAAGTCATTATATTATCATATACATGTAAGGGGAAGTTGAGTAACACTCCATGTAAGAATCAGTAGTGGTTATTTTTCCATTTTGATTTATTTCACAAGACATTAATTTAGAACAATGCTTTGAAAATATATCTCTAATAATTAAAGATTTTGCTGAACAATGCTCTGTATGGTCCTGTATGTATGAATTCAAGTTTGAAAAGCATATTTTTTACTTGTGTCGTCAAAGGCGAAAGCAGGTCTAGTTACCACCTGACTCTGGTCCATATTGTATAGCTTCTTAGCCAGATACAGTAAAGCAATTATTGACAAAACAATTGCAATTATTAACATAATATCTATTTTCAGACTTGAATCAGAATAATATTCCAGTGAAAACATTCAGCACTGATGACTTCCCTGTACCTAGATCTTCCCATGATACATTACTACAGGAAGAAAACTATGACATCAGGGGGGATTATATTGAATGTCAAACTACATCATCTGATTCATCTGATATTTTGATTACAAAAAACATCAACATGACATATGATCAGAACAGAAACTGTTACCTTTCAAGTAGACGAAGTTCAGAAACCAGTTCCATTTGCAGCAATCCTGAGGATATGAATTCCAACACAAGTAATTTTTCTAGTTTGGCCCTTTATCATGTTTATCTTTGTCAGATTTATTAATTTCATACATATTTGTTTTAAAGAATAAAAGAAAGATCCTTTAATGATAGATGAGACCCACTGAACTAAAAATAAAAAATATCATATATCAGGTTATTTTTCATGTCAAGTTTTTTTTTCTCACAATTTTGACCTTGGACAGGACAGTTAATTATTCGCTCTGTTCATTATTCACATGTTATAATCTTAAACAATGAATTCAAATACCAGAGAAATGTATTAATAGGGTAAATTTCGCTGTAAAATGTCTACTATGAAAATAACCAAAATTAGACCCACATGAAAATTTCCCAATATACGGTCTAATATTTTCTTAAAAAGGTAGAAAAGATATTTATCTGAATGGTTAACAATTCTGCTTATTTCTGTTCTGTATTTATAAAATAGAAAATTATGATGTCAATAGCATAATAAATACTGCTGAAGTAATACACATTGTCATATTTCAATCAATTTTTGTAGTATTATACAATTATAGCCTTTGTATGAGGTCGATACAAGGATATATTGACCTGAAAGAAGTATATTGACTGAGGACGAAGTCCGAGGTCGATATACTTCTTTGGGTCGATATATCCTGTATTGACCTCATCAATAGGCTATAATTGTTATATTATTAATTTCCGACCATATTTGTATCAAAATCCTGATTTGATTTTTTGATTTTGTTGGAATTTTATAGATATCATATTGTCTCCTAGACAATAACAACATAAAAGTTGTTATTTCATTTACATTTTTTTTTACATCTTATGTATATGAAGATTTTTTTCTTCAAATAATCGATCATAGATATTTTTTTATAAACCTTTTAACAATATCATGAAATTCATTACATGACGTCACAAAGTATATCGGTTTTTAGATATTCTAAAAATAACCGTGCAATATGCTTTTTGCTGTGCAATATGCTTTTTGCTATCCGCCGTTTTCTCTCTACCTTCGAAAATATAGTTTAACATGTGACTATCTCTGAACGAATCAAATTAGTTAAAAAATACGAATTAATAATATTAGGCATTGTAAATGGACAGAAAGTACCATGTAAAAATTAGGACAGTGTCTGGTTGGACAAAAATTTATAATTGTTTTAATATACAGGTATATAAGATAAAAATTTTGAAATAATTTCAAAGCTTAGAACTTGCACTTTTTTGTCCCCCGTGTAACGCGTTGCGTGTGTGTGTGTCTGTCCATCCGGTCTTGATAGCGCTCTCACAGGTACCAGATTTTTATAAAACTTATACTAAAGGTTAATATCAGCAATAGGACAAGTTCTATAATGGTGACCGATTGACCTTTTTTTAAAGAGTTACGCCCTTGGAAATATTAAATCTATGAAAAATGGCCTCATTAGCACTCTCACGGGTACAATTCTTTCCAGATTTTTATAAAACTTATACTATAGGTTAATATTAGCAATATCTTGGACAAGTTCTATAATTGTGGCCGATCGACTTTTTAAGTCTCCCAAACGAAGTTTGGGAAGACTTATTGTTTTTGCTCAGTTATTATTATTATTATTATGTCACCCGATCGACAATGTCGGGTGACATATTGCTTTTCCTCTGTTTTTTTTTCCCTATTATTATGTCACCCGATCGACAATGTCGGGTGACATATTGCTTTTCCTCCGTTTCTTTTTATGGCACCCTCAACAGAGTTGGGGTGACATATTGTTATTCTACGTTTCTTTTTTTTCTTATTTTTCTTCCACACTTTTTGTCCGCGCTAGTTCTCAGAATTGAACGGACCAATGTTGATGGAACTCAACTATAATGAGGATCCCCATCTGAAGTTGTGCACCTTGGTATGGAATGGTAAAAGATGGCCGCCGTTTCCATGGAAACAGCAAAAATGCGTAAAAAATTAAAGTGTTCCAAACTGGAAGAAACTCCACAGGAATGGTAACTGGCATGTGCTGATTTGCAGTTTGACTTTGGAATTTTCAAAATGGCTGCCGTTACCATGGAAACAGCTTAAATATAAAAAATTCTAACTCTTTCATTATAAGAACAAACTGGATGAAACTTTATGAAAATGTTACCCAGTATGCTAAGATGTCAAGACAATATTTGGATAGTCCAAAATGGCCGCCGTTGTCATGGAAACTGGGGGCAAGTTTTACATTGACCCTATGGGAAAATGCATAAAATCAGCATTTTCTTAAAAGAGTATTTCACCAAAGTCAATGAAACTGTATTGATATATAACATAACATGAGGCAATGAGATGTCTGCTTTTAGAATTTTGGAATTATCTACTGTAACCATGGAAACAGCAAAAATATCCAAAATTTCCAAAAAAATGAAAATGCTGCAAACTGGATGAAACTTCACAGAAATAGTAACTTGCATGGGCAGACTTGCATTTTGAAGTTGGAATTTTCAAAATGGCCGCTGAAACCATGGAAACAGCAAAAATTTCTAAAAGTTCAAAATGCTCCAAACTTAATGAAACTTAACAAAAATGATAATTTGCAGGTTTAGATGCACTCTTTGACTTTAGAATTTTCTAAATGGCTGCCGCTCGCCTGGCAATGGGAGAAGGGTGCCATCCGTTATTGCTAGCAATTACAAATCTAGTTATTATTATTTTTCTTCCACCTATTTTGTCCCAAGGGTTTCTGAGAGTTTAGTGGACCAATCCTATTGAATGGTTAACATAATGAGGTCCACCATCTAAAGTTGTGCAGGACATTTTCGGAATTTTTAAAATGGCCACCGTTACCATGGAAACAGCACAAATGGGAAAAATAGGAAAGTGTTCCAAACTTAATGAAACTTTACAGAAATGTTAGTTGGCAGATGTAAATGTGTGATTTGACTTTGGAATTTCCAAAATGGCCACTGTTGCCATGGAAACCGGAGACAAAGTTTTAACACTGGACCCTATGGGAAAATTCTTTAAGTAGCATTTACTCACTTAAAATGGTAGGTCAAATACATTGATTCTTTCATGGAATGTTCCCTGTCATGTGCCAATATGGCATCCATCTTTGAAATTTTCGAAACGATCACTGTTGCCATCGAAACGGCACAAATTCAAAAATGTCTAAAAATTTCAGAATGCTCCAAATTTACTGAAACTTAATATTAATGTTAACTGGCAAGAAAAGATGAGACTTTTGACATTGGAATTTCCAGAATGTCTCCTGTTGCCATTGAAACAGAAAAAATGTCATTAATTTCAAAATGCTCTCAATGTTCTGAAAATTTATAGAAAGATGTAAAGCAATATATTTATGTGCATGCACTGTTTAAAATGTTTCCAAATGGCTGCCGCTTAGTGGCAATGGGGGGCAGGGTGACATCCGCTATTGCTTGCAATGGCAAATCTAGTTATTATTATTTTTCTTCCACCTAATTTTGTCCGCCCGTTTTCTCGGAGCCAAAGGAACCAATCTAAATGATGGGGCACTATAACAAGGATTCATGACTTTCGAGTTGCAGTGCAACTTTGGAACTAAAAAATGGCTGCCGTTACTATGGAAACAGAAAAAATGTGAAAAAAAAATAAAAATTGCAAATCCATTAAATCTTTCATTATGAGACACAACTGGATGAAACTTTAGTGGAATGTAGCCTGGCATTCCAAGATGTGTTGACCATATTTAGAAATTCCAAAATGGCTGCCATTACCATGGAAACTGAAGAAACAATTACCATTAGCCCCTATGGGAAATTCTTAAAAGTAGCATTTACTCACTTAAAATGGTAGGTCAAATTCCATGATTCTTTCATGGTATATTCCTTGTCATCTGCCAAAGTGGCATCTGTCTTTGAAATTTTAGAATCGGTCACTGTTACCATGGAAACAGCACAAATTCAAAAATGTTCAAAAATTTCGAAATGCTCCAAACTAGATAAAACTTCACAGAAATGTCAACTGAGAAGTGCAGGGTTGCTATTTGTCTTTGGAATTTTCAAAATGGCCGCCGTTGCCATGAAATCAGCAAAAAAAAACCCAACATAAAACACCTTGTAAATTTGAGGCAAAATTTTGTAATCAAGAGTATGTGCATACGATCAAATACAAATCTGTACTGCAAAACATCTTCTAGAATATGCTAGAAGAAAAAAATATATAATTTAACGTGCTTCTATTGTATACAAAAATCGAGATCAAAGACATTGACTTTGGTACACTCAAAATGGTTGCTGCTACTGTGACAATGTCCAGTACAGGGTGACATCCTCCGCTATTGCTCGCAATAGCAATTCTAGTTCTTCTTCCTCTTCCTCTTCCGCTGCTTTTAAATTTGAACTTGTCCGCACCCGTTCTCCAAAACCACTTGTCAGATTAACTTAGGGTTTCACAATATGTTAGACTAACATGTCTAGTGGTGCAATCAGGGTTTTGTTTGTGCAATGGGGTTTATAAAGGGGTACTTTGAGGGGCAAAAAGAAAAGAGGGTTTTACTATAGAACCCTATGGGATTTTATTTTTTTTAATTTTCAAATGATTATAAATTGAAAACCGTTTGTGATAGACACAATCTTTTTAATTGAAAATGTTCTAAATGATAAAACCCATTAAATGAAATACAGGGTTAGTCCCCAGGGGTCACCCCCACCCCCTGCCATTTAAGAAAGTTCTAAAACCTTGTAAATGGTCGAGATCCCCACCCCTAAGCCATATATATTCTGGTTTGTCATGCTAAGATGGTTTGAATGATATACAGGGTTAGTCCCCAGGGGTCATCCCAAAACCCTGCCATTTGAGAAAGTTCTAATATCTTGTAAATGGTCGAGATCCCCACCCCTAAACCATATATATTCTGGTTTGTCATGATAAGGCACATGAAATGAAATACAGGGTTAGTCCCCAGGGGTCACCCCCACCCCATGCCATTTAAGAAAGTTCTAATTTCTTGTAAGTGGTCAAGATCCCCACCCCTAAACCATATATTTTCTGGTTTGTCATGCTAAGATGGTTTCAATGATATACAGGGTTAGTCCCCAGGGTTCATCCCGACCCCCTGCCATTTGAGAAAGTTCTAATATCTTGTAAATGGTCAAGATCCCCACCCCTAAACCATATATTTTCTGGTTTGTCATGCCAAGATGATTTGAATGATATACAGGGTTAGTCCCCAGGCATCACTAATGCATATAACTTTACTGGACCAAACCAATTTTCACTGGACTTTGCCCAATGTCAGGCGACCCTGGGAATTACGAATTATGGGAGCTTCGTTTGGGAGACTTCGTAACAGCATCCTGTTACAATCATTTCTTGTTTTAAAAGAGTTATGCCCCTTGGAAATATAAAATATGTGCAATGCGGGGGACATTGGCACTCTGTTCTTTTATTGTGTTCATGAGAGAAACATTGATGATAATGTCATCTTATAGTAATATATCTGTTATTAATTTGTGAATTTAATTGTAGCTTATGACATATCAAAAATGAGGGCTCCAAGGAAGGTCAAACTGACCAAACCTAGGCCACTTAGATCTTCAAAATCAGATGAAAATGGAAATGAGAAAGAACTGAAAAATGAGGTTAATCAAGATGAAGAGAATGACAAAGGTAATTGAATGGGTGATGCAAATAAGTATTTCATGTATTTCCTTGAAAATTGGGGGAAAAAATGAAGCAAAATTTTGGGAATTTGTAATTTTTTTAGTTCTAATTTCATTTTATAATGTTGGTTTTGGTGGAAAATTGATTTAAAGCCCTTGCAGTTATAATATTGATTGATATTTCTTATCACAGCATGAACAGTTAAAGATTGATTTTGGAGCTTTTTTCAATTTACCTTTTAAAAAAGAATAAAAAAAAATGATTGTTTTATTTTGTTAGAAAAAGTTAAAATATGCTCCATCAAAATTGTAATTTCAGATATTTTTAGCAACTATTTGTTTAATGACGTGAATCTCTTAATTCATTATTTGATAGATTACAATGACTAATTACATTTCAGATCTGATGGATAAGATAAGTGACCTGATGTCACAGTTAAAACAAGGCACTTTATCTGCCAATGATTGTTTACATCTCCGTGATCTGCTGGCAGCTCATTGTCCACATTTAGAACTCATTAATAAAGGTAAGAATTATATCATTAGATAAATGATAGAAAAAAATCATTTCTATGCCTAGAAAATCTGATTTCTGCATTTTATATTTGCATATTCGTGCACAAGCGTTAAGATTTTTTTAAATACACAAATTATATGTTTCATGCTCTTTTCTAATTCATGAATTCACGATGAAGATATCAAGAATAGAACTCTTGAAACACTTCTTTATTTAATGAAAAAATTAATGTACAAAATATCACCCTGTATCAAACCAAACAACAGCAATTATTAGGGTCTACAGTGTAGTAAAAAAAACCACTGAATACTTCTTTTCAAGGAAATAAAAGTCATCCACCCTTCATACTTCAGCTTTTTTTTAATTACACCATAGGGCATATTAAATACGTACTTGTGCATGTTTGACTGTTTTGTCCAAATAAAATTTCAGAATATATTGATAGCTGTTTCCGACACATAGAGGAGGTGTTGAAAGAGAAGAAACAGCAAGATAAATTGGTTCTTGTCAGTTTGACGAACCTAATTGCATTACGACAGAGAGCATGGCAACCATATCCAAAACCACCAACAACTCGAGTAAGTGACTTTCAGGGATAAAAAAAATATGTGTATTTTCGTACTTGCTTTATGAAAAATGCTTTGTTTGAAGTTTCTGTTTTTAGTCAATTCACAATTTAAAAACAAATTTCATGTTATATTCTATAATAAAAATTGTGTGTTCATAACCATTGGAAGGAATTTGCATGGCATATATGTGTGCAACCCCACTGCATACTACAAGAAGTATTCTTTTTTTCAAAACAGCATGATATGTACTGATTTTTAGGATTTTTGCATATTGATAGTATAAAACATTATCTAGCATTGTACTATGAAGTGAGCTCAAGGAGCATCATAATGTCTTCAGCAGCTGATATTTACAGTTTCATTTGATGGAAAATTCTCAAAGTTGTATTTTTATACGCCCGTCAATTTTTGACGGGACGTATTATGGTATACAAATGTCCGGTGTCCGTCTGTCTGTCGGTCTGTCTGTCCGTCCGTCTGTCTGTCCGTCTGTCCGGCGTAAACATGTGGCACCGTAACTTGAGAATGACTTATCCAAATTTCATGAAACTTAACATAGTTGTTTCTTATGATGGTCAAACGATCTGTATACTTTTTGGTGAAAATAAGATTAAAGCTTTTTGAGTTACGGGACTTAGTAACTAAAACAGGTGTGTGTTTTTTTTCACGTCGCACCGTATCTCAAAAACAATTTATGATTATTGCTTAAAACTTTACACACTTCTTAGTTATATTAATCTTAAGATCTGTATACTTGTTGGTGATGATTCAAAATTTTATTTTTGAGTTATTGAGTATTTTGTAAAAAAAGGGGGAGGGGTTTTTCACATGTCGCGCCGTATCTCAAAAACGATTTATGACTATTGCTTAAAATTTTACACACTTCTTAGTTATATTAATCTAAAGATCTGTATACTTTTTGGTTTTGATTCGAAATTTTATTTTAGAGATATTGAGTTTTTTGTAAAAAAAAAGGGGTTTTTCACATGTCACGCCGTATGTCAGAAACTATTTATGCTTATTGCATAAAAATTCACACACAAGACGACGGGCGTATCATGCGCTCATGGTGCAGCTGTTTATTATTTTCTTACAATTCAAACAATAATTTTCATTTTTATAAGTTTGCTGGAAGTAAACTTTAGATGCTCATGCCAAAATTATCCAAAATTAGGTTAAATATAATGACATTGGTGTTCAAAAAAATGTTCAGGTCTGATCAAAATTAAACAAAATTAAAAATAAAAAGTTGGAATAAAGGAAGAAAAGATCAACTGTGATTTTAACCTTAAAACAGAAGACTTCATCTTTTAAAAAAAAATTATGTTAATGTGAAATAATAAAATTGTTATACAGGTCACATGTTTTACAGTTAAAATTGATCTGAAATTATTGTTTTAACAATTTGCACTAATAAGTAAATAAATATTGGGGAAATAGTTAAAAAGTTACTTGTAATTTGGAAGCTCTAGAGTACAATTATATCTTTGCATGTTAACTGAAGCTTATATTGCCTGACTGCATGATTATTGTTTATATGATATCTTTCAGAAAAAATCTATAACTTGGAGTGAAATCAAAGAAGAAATTCCTTACAGAGAATGCATGTTGTATGATTCTACCCACATACCATTAGTACAAAATCAAATGGTAATGTTATATCTCCCATGAATGATTCCTGTTAAAGCTTTAAAATTTTATATATTTTGATTCATGTGAATATATCTGATGTTGGTATAAGTGTGTTTATGTATATTGCAAGTTTTCTATTCTTTTTTTTTCACTGAATTTGACTTATTTCATTGAAATAGTACTATTAAAAATTATAACATAATAAATATTACAGGGGTTATTTCATAGAAATATTTTCAAATATGAAAGTATATTTATTTAAGAAATAATTCATGGAAGCCATAGATTTGTTGGACATTTACACATGGCCTGGGCCATGATATTCGAATTTTATCCTGAGCTTTAGCGAGGGATAAAATTAACAAATATCACGGCCCAGGCCATGTGTAAATGTTCAACAAATCTATGGCTTCCATGAATTATTTCGATTCTAATAGGACAAATATGGTAATTTAAAAACTGAAGCTAACGTAAGATTACCATGTGTATGGCTGTTCTATTTTACCCCCTGTAAGATAAAAGCTACAAATTTCATATAAATCTAAGTCTTACATGAATTATTTCTCAAATAAGCAGTAGAAAAAATGTGTTCAATTCTCACAATTCTTAACCCAAACATTTATTTTTCTTTGGCTACTGTTTACTGTCAAATCCAGAGTTAACATGTCGTAACTAAGGAGTGAGCCGCCATTTTGACTTGCTGAAATCCAAAAATGTGCGAATAACGCAATTGAATAGAAAATGAAATAACACCTACCTCAAAACTCCATTTTAATGGAATATTATCCGAACTTAGGGCATATACGTAACAGAAAACATTCAGCGTTAGAGTTTTCATTCGTATGACATCATGTTATGACATGACGCTAACGGCCAAGATCATTCATGAAATTTTGCGGAATTTTATCTTATTTTGATTTTATACATTTTTTAAGCTCTTGTGCATTAATTATTTTTGTTATGCAATATAATAGGAATAACGGTTCTGTAGTTTCTTTTTCAATTTCAATTTGGACACAACGAAATCGACATAGTGTTTGCACATAGGTTACGATACATGTGGATTTACGTGGGAGGTAAATAGTAACAGCCACCAATATGCACATCTCTGAGTTTGTGCTTAGTATAGATATATTGAGAATTTTATCACGGTGTTGTTTACAAAGCGAAAGAAGCACGTCATATTAGAATATGTATTAGTATGTCAGGACAAGCTGCTTAATTAGGACAAAATTAAAATGGGGTAGATTGTCCAATTTCAGACAGATTTGAATTATTTTATTTCAGGTTTTGCATGTGTGGAGCTTATTCATTTTTGTTGATGAATATAAATGTACTTTTATAGTTATCAAACCACATTATTCAAACTTTGTGTTAATTTAACTCATGTTTTGGTACTTATATTTAAAAAACACAACTGTACTATTTTATTTATAACAGTATTAGTATCAGATTTTACCAAAGTTTCCACAAATGAAATCTAATGACAACAATTGTTTATAGAGTGTGGATTCTGGCATAGATGTAGAAGACCAAGTTCTATGGGATACAGAAGAAGCTTTTGAAGATGATTTAACCAATGAAATGTAAGTTTTAAAAATATGGAGGCAAAACTATTGAAGGAACAATCAAACAGTTTGTATTAATATTTTACAGTTAGATCCAAATATTTTTTTTAAACGTTCCAATAAAATTAAGGGATTTACTTAAAAATTCCATACAGAAAGAACTAAACCAAGATACTGTCTTCTATGTATTGTTTAAAATTTTCTTATCATAATTTTTTTCTTTAACATTTTTGATTTCAGTTGGTCACAGTGCAATAAAACTAATGATGGAGAGAAAGAAAGTAAGTAACATGTATTTTTTCCATAGTCTGTCATCAGAGAATATGTGAAAAATTTTAGAGTGGGTAAAATTCACTGTTTACTTACACATCAGAATATGTCATCCCCAGATTCAACACACAGGAAATGTTTTCTCTACATTCAGAAGTAAATTAAACAAACAATAACTATCTCCATTGGAATTGAGAAAGCTATGTTGTATTTGAATACTTACTTGCCAATGTCAGTCTTTATTTGTAATACATTATCAAATTTTTATGTTAGCAAGATTTCAAATATTTTACATTTGCTCTTCATATTATATTATATAATATTTTTTAATGAATTTGGTAAATACCTTTTATTGTTAATGTTAATTTAGGAAAAAAAGCAATGAGTTTTATCTTGTATACAGTAAATTCAGAAATTTCTGTTTGAATAATAATTGGATTGTTAAACAAAGGACAAACACATGAGATATAAATATTAAGAAAGGCTGCATACAAATAACAAGATCAAAATTTGAATTGTGGGTTATTATTTTTGCAATATATATCCTGTTGCATTTTTTACAATTATAAAAACATCGCTAAAATTTATCATAATGAAATTATCAAAAAACAAGGGGTTTCATATTTTATCATTGTTACTGGTCATGAAGTTATTAATGATTTTACATACAATGTGTCTCTGATTCTCTGAAGACCTTCAAAATTTCAATCTTTGTTTCTTATTCATGGTCAATTAAAAATTTTTTAATCTCCTACTGATGTATATTTTCTCATGAAAAATAAATTACTGGTTCAATTTTTTGTCTTGCCTGTGACCAAAGTCACAGAAAGCTAAACAGGTACTGCTTTTCTGGCGGCAATGGCTGAGGATGTGTCAACAGTTGTTGTTTTCTGCTTAAGACAGTTTGATGGGAACTGCTTGTGATATATCAATGATGTTTTCTATAAAGTTGCATTACTATCAGTACAAATAATTTGATGACTATTTCAAGGCCCTGCCACCTAGGTCATGGGCCAGCAACTTTGAATTGTTGCAATGTTGCTGTCCATCAGATTGTCTTTTTTCTATTTTTTCTGCAGACAGGCGAGACATATCTCTGTTTATTTTTTAATCACATATTGGTAAAACAAAGGTTAACATTGTTTGCAGGATCACCAAGTCCACAGAGTGTTATTGAAGCTGTCAAGGGACTGAAAATAGTAGGGGAAGACGAAGAATTTGTCAAGGTATTTCTTAACTTTATTGATTAGCTTTCAAGAAATATGAAAACAATATTCTGGATTATTCATTGAAATGGTGCACAGTTTATATTAGAAGTTACTGTCTTGTGATACTACATGTATATGGAAAGTCAGCATAGAAATTAAAAAAAATGATATGTATATAAAAATATGAAGATGTGGTATGATTGCCAATGAGACAACTCTCCACCAGAGAACAAATAGACATAATCAACTATAGGTCACCATAGGTTTAATACAGCCGTTTGTGGATTCATGAATTTTGAAATTTGTAATGATGTTAATGTTTAACCTATTGTGGACAGTTCCATCTAAATTAAGTACAGGTTTATATATACTAAATATTTCAATTTTATTAGTCATTTAATGAACAGTCTAATAAGTAGTAAGGGCTATTCCATAGAAATATACATGAGACAAAGGGAAGTCAATTCAAAATCTAAACTGGCTGTTGGTGTCAAATAATTTTAAAAACTGAAAATTAAAGTGATCTCTACAGATGGTTATACCATTTTCAAAGTGTCTTCCCTGGCTACCATGTATGTTTCAATGGAACAGCCCTTATGAATATAGTTTGCTTCAAGACGCCTTTTTGTAGAACAGATTATTCATGGCTTTAGTGATCCTTATTTATGCTGGTTTCATTTACTTGTGAAAATTCATATATGAACAATTATGTGAGGATTTTTTCAATAATAAACTTACTGGAAAGTCCTTTCTTTTCAATAGTTATATCTTAGACCTTGAAATTTTGAGAGAGAAAACGTTGTGTGTAACATTACTGTTACTAGATGTTTGGTTACTTTTAAAAATATTTATCCAAAACTCCAAGACCAAAATAAAAAGTATATATTTTTTTTTAAATTACAGGCTGCTGCAGCGTTATTACAGAAATTTTTGAAAAATGGGAAGACTCTTGAAGAGAAAGAAAACAAAAAAAATAAATCGAAGGTATGTTGTGAAATTGACAAACCATGGTTTAAGACTGCAATTAACATATTTATAATTAATAGATAAACAAAAATTCCTAAAGCTATTCAGGATAACTATTTGCTGTTGAAACAAGACAGTACAGAAGGTTCAAGATATCATCTATAGTTAGATTTTGGCCTCTTTTTAAGAAAAATATTGATTAATATTCCTAACATATGAAAGACCTTACTGTTTAGAGGTTGAACGTTATGAAGCATTTTATCACAACATTAAAATGTTTACCACTTTATAAAATAGACAAACAATGCCCTTTATGCACCTACACTTATGATTTAATCCTGACATTGAGAAATTATTGATAAAATGTCTAAAAATCATTAAATATAAAACATACTACCATTAACATGTATTGATATGGACTTTAATCTAATTATAGAATAATGTGATGAGACAGCCAATAGGACCAGGAACTAGCGATAAACTGGTAAAGGAAGTGGAGAAAACATTGCCTGATGGGATGCACTCTGCTAAAGGAAGGAGGGCAATGTTCAAAGTTTACAATAGTGCAATGTATGTAGCTGATTATGGTATGTTGTAGTATAGATTTCATGCATTTTAAAAGACATTGAATGAGGTATGGAAGATCCCCTACCTGAAACCATCTTATTCCTGTTGTCCAATTCCAAAAGTCTTTCATATAAAGAGTCATCTCTTAATGGATGGAGACTGATCTGTGGCAAACAAGTTGGCACCGAAAGCACATTGTTGCTATAGAAACTCGATGCGAAATTACATTTTCTAAAGAAAGGCAGTCGGGGGCAATCATTGACTGTGATTGGCCAATTTTATAAATCTTTTCTGCTGAAACTAAAAGGTGAAACATTTTGAAACTTTATAAGTGGTATATTTGTAAGGTGGTTGGTTGAGGCTGCATGGAAATCTTTTAAATGATTTTAATGAGCTAACACACAAGGTTACTGGTTTATTATTTTCAAGCCAACCCTGAAAGTCATGGCTCTTACTCCTGAATTCAGCATTCTCAACACACAAGAAACAAATACCCAAACCAATGTCTGATCAGGAAATGGAACCCAAGATATCTCATACTCTCCATATAGTTGATCAACTTACCCAGAGAAAGTTTCATTTTTTTAACAATTATCATATTGTCTACTTGTGAAGTAGAATTACTTACATATATGACCAGCAGCTGGACAACCATGAGTTGTAACTTTAATCAATCTGTCAGTCAACTATTTCTAGTTTTCTGATTCTTTAAATTACAAGTGGGGGAATGAGTAATAGAGATAAAGTACTGACATAAAGGGCTCTTACTACAATAGCTCTTGCATTCTTGTTTTATCAGAATTTTCTTTTTTAGATGACCATGAGAAGACAAAGTTACCACAGTCATACGATAGAGAGGAATTATTGTATTTAGCATTATCTCCCCTTTCAAAGAAATGTCCAGCAGAGTTATCCTATCTAAGTAAAGTTTTCCCTGATGTTTGCTTTACACAGGTTAGTAGACACACCATCAGTTTCTAAGGTGATGTGAAAATAAATATTTAATGATTACCTTGTGACTTTCTTATGTTTCAGGATATTTTTCCATAATTTTGGACATGTTAATTTTTACAGATTGCCCATTAGGCTAAGGTATCAAGCAATCTTTCCAGCCACATAATAATTTAAAAATATTTATACCCCTGCTTTTAAAAAGTGGGGGTATACTGTTTTACCTCTGTCTGTCCGTCTGTCCGTCCATCCATCCGTCCATCCGTCAGTCCATCCGTCCCATGAATATTTGTTGTCTCAGATTTCTCAGAAACTACATTATAAGGATTTCTGAAATTTGGTTTCAGGGTTTATATAAGTCAGCTATAGCGTGTGATGCGTTTTCAGATTCATCACTCAACAACTTCCTGTTAACCGAAATTTTTGAGTGGAGGTATCATCAATGAGCAGTATCTCGCAGTTTCACTTGTTTCTTCTCCGCTACACATGCTTCATTTAGGAGTAAAAACAAAGACTGGTCGGCTGGGAGTCAGAATAATGTGACCGAGGAAGGGTTACATGTCTTCCTACAGACTATTACCTTGTGAACTAGCACGTTACAATCCAGCTCAGCGTGTCTGTGAAGTCTAAAGCAGGGTTTATATTCATATATTATCATTTTCTCGTCCTGAATATGCATTTAATTTGCCACTCGACGTTAAACAGCAATCCATTCATCCTAAAAATTATTAAAGAAAAAGCATTTTGTGTCGTAGACTACAAATTCTATTTCTATAAACTTATTTCGAGCATGCATAAATTTTATTTTCATTGTTCATTGGCCAACGTTTTCGCTAGACTTCAAACATGAATTCATTCATAATCGGTAAAAACGGCAAGACATTTCAGTAGTGCACTCATATTCTCACTTTGTCATATAGCAGTAGTGTGTGAAAATAGGAATAAATATGAAGATGAGAAGATGTGGTAGGATTGCTAATGAGACAACTCTCCACTAGAGACCAAATGAATTAAAAGTTAACAACTAATAGGTCACAGCATAGCCTTCATCACTATGATCAAAACCCATACCGCATATTAAGCTTTAAGCAAATAAACAAAATAAAAACTTACAAGATAAAAGCATTTTAAGTTTATATCTCATAATTTTTGTTTTGATTTATTTTGAATAACTAATACAGGAGTTGATTCACTAACCAATAATTTTGGCTCTAAAAATCAAATTTTTATGACCCTGCCGAATCAGTGGGGGCATTAAGTTTTACCCTTGTCCATCTGTCCATACGGTACGACGTACATACGTCCGTACATCCCAAAATTGGTTTCCGTTCTCTTAACTTAATTTTGCCTCAACCAAATGTTATGAAACTTATACACAATGCTTATTATCGCAATACACAGATCAAGTTTGAATTTTTGTGGCATCACTTGTACTGTTCTAGAGTTATGCCCCTTTACAAATTTTTCATTTTTTTTCAAAAATATCAATGATGTCATTGTTCAAGTAATTTTTAAAATTGGAGTTATCTTCCTTTGTCCATGATTATAGTTGAATCAACTACAATCAATGCTTTATACAATGCAATGTTTAATTTTGCCTTCCACTGATAAAACACAGATCAAGTTGAATTTGGGTAGTGTCACTTTAACCATTATTGAGTTATGCCCCTTTATAAATCGTAAAAATTGCAAAATTTTTAGTTTCCGTTCTGTAACTTAAGTTTGCCCCAACCAAACATTAAACCTATACACAATACTTATTACCACAAAACTAAGATCAAGTACAAATTTGGGTAGCGTCACTTTTATTGTTCTTGAGTTACGTCCCTTTATAATGTTGTATGCATGCTGGGCATCATCTGTGTTCATGGGGACACATTCTCCCTTTATTTTAAACTGCGATACTGTTGTGAAAACTTGATGAAAATGTATGTTAAAATGTCCAATTGTTTCAGTGAGAGAAGATGTTCACCAATTGTGTCATTACTGATGTATTTGTGATGTCATATATGTAGGTGACTTTCATTAACACCAGATTTTTAGCATAATTTGGCAAAATTAATGTCATTTTTTGGCACAAATAACAGTGGCGCCACCCCTCGCCCACAAATATTATTACTAAAAATATTCTTTATATACCATATTCTTTATTTTTTAACCAAAATTTCAATGGGCAAGGGGTAGCACCACATATGAAATCATGAAATAAAGTGACAATTTCAGGAAAAATTAACTAAATCAAATCTTTTCCTATTTCAGGCTAATATATTTATAATATATGAAGCAAACATACGATTTTTTTTTATCATACTTTCAAAAATAATACATTGAGTAATACATATGCATTAGATTTACTCAAACAACTAAGTTTAAAAATTCACCTTTACAGGGCCGTTAATTGGGGTTAGAAGCTCTACTCCCTTGGTTGCAATTTTGATTATGTTTCAGATACATTAAAAAAAGTTGATTTTATTATGTTATTTATGGCATTAGGCATCAATTACCAGCAATATACAATTCTTATAATTACACTTTTTTTTTTCTGGTTTTTACAATCTAATGTGTTCTTTAGGTTGACACTTATTTCCACAAGGACAGTTTACCAGTTAAAGATTACAGTTGGAGTTGTCCTATAAGAGGTTTGTCTAAACATGATACCAGTTCAGTTGACAATGGCAAGCATGGATTTAATTCAAATTTTCTTAGACGAGGTTTCAGTTGTCCATCTGGAGATTCCGATACTGATTCCAACAGTTCTAGAGAGGAAATAGGGGACAGTCAGAAAAACACAACTGGATATGGAACTCCTTCTCTAATGAGAGCATTTAGTTGTCCTGAAGGAGATTCAAATAGTTTTACAATCAATGGACACCGAAATGGCTTTTCAAAGAAAGAAGGATTTGGATCGAGGGATATCAGTAATGGATTTAATAAAGCTATATCATCTAATGGAAACCGTGAATCAAAGGAAAACATTTCTAACAACAACAGAACTAGTTTTGGTTCTCCAAGTGATAAACAGATAAGTCAGCCAGAGAACAATAAGTTTGGCAACCAGGATAACAAACATATAGGACAAAGGAAAGGATTTGGTTCTCCCAATAACAACAGTGGCATGTATACTAGTGGACTAACCAGTTGAATTATGGGAAATGTAGTTTCTAGAAAATCCATCTTTACAAACATTTTGCTTTATTGTAATTTCAACTTTGTCTTGAAATACAATCAAAGGTTCTGGTGATTTTGACCTATGATAAGTTTATGATTTAAGGAATTCACCATTGTCATGAAATGATATCAAAGAATTATGGCATTTCTCATTTGTCTTTTTAGTCAAATGGTTTGGGCATTTCATCTTTGTTTTGAAATTAGAGGTCAAAAGTTTTGTGCACATGCAATATAAAACTACGCTCAAAGACTTCTCATATTTTACACAATCAATTGTTGCAATGTGTTCAGTTGTCTGTTTTCAGGCTTTTGTAATTCACAGCAGTATAAGTTCTGTATAAAGGGTGTAAAATGTAGTTATGTAGATCTTATACACATACATGTACATGTCAGGGTATCTGTATTTTGGTGTGCGAAGTCTGAAGAATTTTTTAATTTGACAAACCTAATATTGCAATTGTAAAAACTTTTCAAGTGATTGTTTTGTTTTTTTTTATTATTAAACTGTGATACATTTCTGATGGCATTAACTTTGTATTACTGAAGATTTTTGAGGAAGAAGAATAACCAATTCATATTTAATCAAATAAAAAATATATCACAAATAATAACTATATCAATATTGTAGTGAAAATAGTTTATATTCATTCTAGTCAGTTCACTTTGTTGATGCTGTTAATAATTCAGATTTATATTTTTTTTCATTTATTCATATTGAAAGCAAAAAGTTTTTATTTTAAAAGGGCATTAGATTTTATTTTAAACATCAACACTGAAGAAATGATTTTTGTAAGATATGACATCCTTGTAGGAATATCACAACTATTATAGATATATGTCAGATATGATAGGAAGAATGTTCCATAACAGAAGAAAAAATACATTTATTATAATCTAAAAGTTGATGTATACTTACATGCTGTATATAAAAGATAAAGAATCAGGTAATCAGGTTAAAAACAAGCAAGTGATTTATATAACTGTGATACATTATAATCATCACTGGTATAATCAACAACTGTCAACTGTGTCTTATTCATTTCTCATTAGTCTTATGCTGTATATTTGTATATTCATTTTTTTCAATAACCATTGACTATAGAGTGTTAGATGATTTTTATAGATGCATTCTTCAGCATTTCATGGTATATTAACTTTGGTTCTGTCAAAATTAAAGAACAGATTAAAAATGAAAAAAAACCACATGGATAATTATGGGGTTCATTCAATACTCGAGGAATTCATACAAAATTTACATTAACACTTATCACCAAGACTGGTAACAAGCAGTCAAATAATCAGTATTTAATATTTTTAGCTCACCTGGCCCAAAGGGCCAAGTGAGCTTTTCTCATCACTTGGCGTCCGTCGTCCGTCGTCGTTAGCTTTTTACAAAAATCTTCTCCTCTGAAACCACTGGGCCAAATTTAACCAAACTTGGCCACAATCATCATTAGGGTATCTAGTTTTAAAAAATGTGTCCGATGACCCCACCAACCAACCAAGATGGCCACCATGGCTAAAAATAGAACATAGGGGTAAAATGTAGATTTTGGCTTATATCTCTGAAACCAAAGCATTTAGAGTAAATCTGACATAGGGTAAAACTGATTATCAGGTCAAGATCTATCTGCTCTGAAATTTTCAGACAAATCTGACAACCTGTTGTTGGGTTGCTGCCCCTGAATTGGTAAATTTAAAGAAATTTTGCAGTTTTTGGTTATTAACTTGAATATTATTATAGATAGAGATAAACTGTAAACAGCAATAATGTTCAGCAAAGTAAGATCTACAAATAAGTTGTCATGACCAAAATTGTCAGTCAACCCCTCTAGGAGTTATTGTCCTTAATAGTCAATTTTTAACAATTTTTTGTAAATTTTTGTAATCTTTTACAAAAATCTTCTTCTCTGAAACTACTGAAACAAATTTAACCATACTTGGCCATAATCATTATAAGGGTATCTAGTTTAAAAAATTTGTCTGATGACCCCGCCTTCCAACCATCATGGCCGACTTGGTTAAAAATAGAACATAGGGGTAAAATGCAGTTTTTGGTTTATATCTCTGAAACTAAAGCATTTAGAGCAAATCTGACAGGTGGCAAAAATGTTCATCAGATGTAGATTTATCTGCCCTGAAATTTTCAGACGAATCCGACAACCCGTTGTTGGGTTGCTGCCCCTGAGTTAGTAATTTTACAAAAATTTTGCAGTTTTTTGTTATTATCTTAGATATCATTATAATATCTAATATCTAATACTATTAATTATGATTTTAACCTTATTTTACATGATTTCCAAAGCATCAGTAAATACAGGTGAGCGACACAGGCTCTTGAGAGCCTCTAGTTTTTTATTTCGTCTTTTTTTATTCGTTTTATAGCTTAAGCTTCAAATCATTTATTTAATGAAAAGTTGCCAAAATTACCTCATTTTTTTTGGTGGTCTTTTGAATAATAATTAGATATGAGCAACAGCAATAACGAAAAAGATGTTTTGCTGTAAGATGTTATATACAGTTATGTAGATAATAATGTGAGTTTAAGATCTATTTGTGTAAGACTGAGGCTCAAAATTAAGATTTGCTAAAAGACTATAAGCAGAATTGCCATTTTCAGTCAATTTAATATATTTTAATTTTGACATGATTTTAAAGTCGTAGGGAAAGCAGAACGTACCGCACTGAAGTGTCTAGATTATTTTATATTACTATTAACTAATTAATAGATAAAAACTTGAGGAAATATGATGAATAGTAAGGTTGCCTACTCTTTTTTTACCATATTATACATAATAGTGAAAAATTGGTTCATTTGCGATTTTAAATATTTTATTGAAAGATTTTTTTCTAGAATTGAAATGATTTGTGCAAAGGCTTCCTTCCTGATAAATCTAAAATTTGAGTGTATTCATAAGCAACATCTTTTGATTATTAAACAAATTTTTAAAGCAGTTGTAATTTCATATTAATGTTTATGTTTTTCCAAATCATTTATTTAATACCAAAATACATATTAAGCAATATATTTAAAAACGAAGACCTTCATACATATTCAGTAAAATAATGTTTATCTACATGAAGTCATTGCTCGTTAAGAATTTTGGCATTATCTACATAAAGTCATGGCTCATTAAGAATTTTGGCATTTAATTATATCCTGATCAAATACTCAAACTGTTATAATGTTACTTAGTGTGAATTTAGATACAGAGGTTGTGGTATCAATATACATATTCAATCCATACTTTGTTTTGTTTGAATTAACATTGAAAGTATTGGTTGTGATGCTATTCTGTTTTTATTAATTTTCAATATTGTTATTACTCTTTATTCAGCTGTATATATTTTTGTTGACACTTTGCAGATAGATGGCTATTTTTTGTTCATTACCATTTACAATATATTGGTAATAAAACATGTATACACTTGGGCATTATAGTGGTGACATGTTTTTGTTGACTTGGCATTATAGTGATCACGTGTTTGTTGATACACTTTCCATGTTGGTGCTCTTGCATTTTTTTTTTGTTGACAATTTACATTATAGTGCCCTGTAACATGTGTTTTTTTTTAACACTGCATAATAATAACTGAAAGGGCAATTCCAGAAAATAATATGTTTAATTATAAGTAATTTAAATGGTGCTAAAAAAAAGTAGGTATGGTGCTAGTAACAATCATTGTTTGTTGTAAAATGGGCTTTTAGTTTGTTGATAATATGTAACATTGTAGTTTATTCAGTCTAAAAACATCTGGAACATTTTATTTCCACTTTATAATTTTGGAATACATGTATGCTTTATAATTGTTATTTAATTCATATATGACATTTATCTAAGTGATTTGCATGATATTATCATGCTAACATTATACTATTCGCACATCCATTTTGAAGAATACATGTAGCTTACTTTTGTACATGAAAAAAGTCAGTAATTTTGTTCTTAAACCATGTGACTACAAAAATGTATGGTAAACAATATTGCACATTGTATTTTCCATTGCTTCATTAGAGAAAGGATTCTACGTTTTCCCATTGATTAAAATATGTATCCACTCTCATTATTAAATTCAATAAGCCTCTCCTTTTAAATTTTGAAAATTTAATAATCTCGATAAATATGGAGTTGTAGAATCTTTATGTAAATATTAGGATAAAAATTAATTATATATTAACTAAAACCAGCCTATGGTTGATAGTTTCCAGTATTAAAATTAACCAATACCAGCCTATGTTTGATTGATTTATATATTTAAATTAACCAGTAGCTGCCTTAGTTTGATAGTTTTTTCTTCTCTTAAAGGTAATCAATACAAGCCTATGGTTGATAGTTTCCAATATAAAAATCTGCCAATACCAACCTAGGGTTGGTAATTCACTTATATCATGCAAGGGTCGGTAGTTTACAATATGTGAATCCACCAGTACTAGCCTAGGTATATAGTTTCCAATATAAAAATCAATGGTAGTCAACAATTTAAGAATCCACTAATGAACTAGGGTTGTTAGTTTCAAATATAAAAATCCACAAATACCAGGCCAGGGTTGGTAGTTTCTAATATATAAAAATACAATAATGTCAAGCTAGGGTTGGTAGTTTCCAATATAAAAATCCACTAATATCAGGCTAGGATTGGTAGTTTCAAATACGAAAATCTCCTAATACCAGGCCAGGGTTGGTAGTTTCCAATATAAAAATACACAAATATCAGGCTAGGGTTGGGAGTTTCCAATATAAAAATACACAAGTGCCAGGCCAGGGTTGTTAGTTTCAAATATATTAAAATACATTAATATCAGGCTAGGGTTGGGAGTTGCCAGTTTGAAAATCCACTATATAAGGCTAGGGTTGGTAGTTCCAATATAAAAATCAACCAATACCAACATAGGATTGGGAGTTTCCAATTTAAAAATCCGCTAATATCAGGCTAGGGTTTGTAGTTTCCAATATAAAAATCAACCAATACCAACATAGGATTGGGAGTTTCCAATATAAAAATCCGCTAATATCAGGCTAGGGTTGGTAGTTTCCAATATAAAAATCAACCAATACCAACATGGGGTTGGGAGTTTCCAATATAAAAATCTGCTAATATCAGGCTAGGGTTGGTAGTTTCCAATATAGAAATCCACTAATATCAGGCTAGGGTTGGTAGTTTCCAATATAGAAATTCAGTAATATAAGGCAAGGGTTGGGAGATTCCAATACGAAAATCTGCTAATATCAGGCTAGGGTTGGTAGTTTCCAATATATAAATCAACCAATACCAACATAGGGTTGGGAGTTTCCAATATAAAAATCCGCTAATATCAAGCTAAGGTTGGTAGTTTCCAATATAGAAATCCACTAATATCAGGCTAGGGTTGGTAGTTTCCAATATAGAAATCCACTAATATCAGACTAGGGTTGGTAGTTTCCAATATAGAAATCCACTAATATCAGGCTAGGATTGGTAGTTTCCAATATAAAAATCCGCTTATATTATGCTAGGGTTGTTTGTTTCCAATATAAAAATCCGCTAATATCAGGCTAGGGTTGTTAGTTTCCAATATAAAAATCCACTGACATCAGGCTAGGATTGGTAGTTTCCAATTTAAAAATACCCTAATATCAAGCTAGGGTTGGTAGTTTCCAATGTGAAAATCCGCTAACATCAGGCTAGGGTTGTTAGTTTCCAATATAAAAATCCACTAACATCAGACTAGGGTTGGGAGTTTCCAATTTAAAAATCCACTGTTATCAGGCCAGGGTTGGTAGTTCCAATATAAAAATCCACTAACATCAGGCCAGGGTTGGTAGTTCCAATATAAAAATCCACTAACATCAGGATAGGATTGGTAGTTTACAATATGAAGATTCCTTTAATACAAGCCTAGGGTTGGTTGTTTCCAATATAAAAAAAACAAAAAAAAGCCTAGAGTTCATCCCGTTAATACTTTCCAACATAAAAATTTCTCAATACAAGCCTACAGTTGGTAGTCTCAAATATAAAATCCAATATAGTATAGCCTAAAATAATACAGAAATAAATATATCTCTATAAACACAAGTACATGTAAATAGTAACATTTTTTTAGGTCATTTTTGTACCATGCGTTCCATGGGGAGAATAAACAATGAGCTGAACAAAACTAATCCCAAATTTAAGGTAAGACTTAAGAATAGATTTGTTTGCTGTTTCTTTCACTCCCTCCAACTTTGGCTGTACCATTATTCCTGTAGGAAGTATCTTCTCCAATACCAATTAACTTTTCTCTTATGTTCAATGAAGCATATGCTGATTTTTTTAGGACCAGTTAAGTGAGGATGAAATTTTCTGAGTTGAAATAACAGTAAACCTTGCAGGATTTTGCATAGGTCGCATAAAGGGGGTGTGAAAATTAATTTAACCCCATAAGCTTGAAATTAAGTATCAAACATTTTGCACACTCAAAAAAGGTTGATAACAAAAACAATGGTATAGAAAAGTTGCTTTTTAGCTCACCTAGCCTGAAGGGCCAAGTGAGCTTTTCTCATCACTTGGTGTCAGTCGTCCGTCGTCGTCGTTAACTTTTACAAAAATCTTCTCCTCTGAAACTACTGAGCCAAATTTAACAAAACTTGGCCACAATCATCATTAGGGTATCTAGTTTAAAAAATGTGTTCGATGACCCGGCCTGCAAACCAACATGGCAGACATGGCTAAAAATAGAACATAGGGGTAAAATGCAGTTTTTGGCTTATATCTCTGAAACTAAAGCATTAAGATCAAATCTGACATGGGTAAAAATGTTCATCAGTTTTAGAATTATCTGCCCTGAAATTTTCAGATGAATCAGACAAGCCGTTGTTGGGTTGCTGCCCCTGAATTGGTAATTTTATGGAAATTTTGCAGTTTTGGGTTATTATCTTAAATATTATTATAGATAGATAAACTGTAAACAGCAATAATAATGTTCAGCAAAGTACAATCTACAAATAAGTCAATATGACCAAATTTTCAATTGACCCCTTAAGGAGTTATTGCCCTTTATAGTCAAATTTTTAACAATTTTTTTCGTAAATTTTTGTAATCTTTTACAAAAATCTTCTCCACTTAATCTATTAGGCCAAAATAGAACTAAACTTAGCCACAATATTCAATAGGGTATCTTGATTGAAAAATGACCCTGCCATCCAAACAACATGGCGGCAATGGCTAAAAATAGAACATAGGGATTTACTTTAGAAGTCTAAGGGAAAAATGTAAAAAAAACAATTTCAAATGTTCACAACTTGAAAAAAAAATTTAAATAATGATAAGGGGTCTTCAGTAACTATTGTTAGTCTAGTTACTAGTGAGATGACCTGCTTTTAATTTAACTACTGGGCCAAATTAAACCAATTTGCCTCATGCGCAATCATTATTAGGGTATCTAAAACTATTTATTATGATTTAAACCTTATTTTACATGATTTCCAAAACAAACTTAGATACAGGTGAGCGACACAGGCTCTTGAGAGCCTGTAGTTTTTTATACTTAAAAAAGATATATTTTGTATAATTTCCTAAAATATTATTTCCCTTTTTTGGCTAAATTATTCTAAACAATTTGAATCAGTTTTTGTTTTGTTTTACATTTTAAAAGTATAGGAACTGCAGTTGAATTTTCTTTTTTAGTCATTATTCATATAAAAGGTTACTAAGGTCTTTGGTATAAATACATTTGACACTTGAAAAAATAGTAACAGTTTTATACAATACTGGTTCTCTGATGGGGGGGGGGGGGGGGGTGGTGGGGAGTTCAATTAACATACCTACCTCCTGTTCTTAATATTATATAGGAAGGATAGAATTGTGGCATAACATTCCACAGTGGCATGGTGATTAGAATAGTATTTGTTAACACAAAATCTATTGTTTTATTGTGGTGGTAATAAAAAAAATGTTTTAGAAAAATCACTATGTTTTATATTTTAAATATCTTCAAATATTCTTAAAAGATGTATTTACAAATAATTAAAACCAAATGTAAGTTGGAAGATTATATAAGAAAATGTTATTTGGTAAATTGGTTATTAAATTGTAATCATTTGACTTGCCCATATTGTTTGTAAAACCAGAAAATGATGTTTAATTGTTAAAAAAATCAAACATAAAAATTGATATCTTTCAGTATTTGTTCTTCTTTTTCTTCTTTTAAAAAAACTTCTGGTATTGAAATATACTGTCAAAGTATACTTGGTTTAAAATTGAGAATGGAAATGGGGAATGTGTCAAAAAGACAACAACCCGACCAAAGAGCAGAAAACAGCCCAAGGCCACCAATAGGTCTTCAACACAGCAAGAAAATCCTGCACCCGGAGGTGGGCTTCAGCTGGCCCCTAAACAAAAATGTGTACTAGTTCAGTGAAAATGGATGTCACACTAAACTCTGAAACATATAAATGAACTAAAATTAAAAAAAGACATACAAGACAAACAAAGGTCAGAGGCTCCTGACTTGGGACAGGCGCAAAAATGCGGCGCAGTTATACAGAAAAATAGAAAATCAATATGAACAAGATTGTTAGGCTGTAGTGAAATATCCCTTGCCCTGTATAAGTGAGGAATTAAATTGTGTGTTACAATGTGTCATTGTGGTACAATAATTAATTTATAGTTAAAGTCCAATAACTCCCATAAAAATGGTCAAAACAAAATGAGATAATATAATGGTCATCTACACATGATGGCAAACAATGCTACCAAGTATGAGAGCCTTTCTGTCAAATGATCTCTTAGGAGTTGCGTTCACAATCAATGGTTCAAACCATTGATTTATGTTAAGTTTTTAACCAGATTTTCGAAGGAAATATGGGTTATTGATTTGGGGATGTACGGCGGGCAGGCGGACGGGCGGCTGCCAAACAGTGTCTCTTTAATAACAGGAAAACGCTTTGACGAAATTTTTTCAAATTAAGATATGTTGTTTCCTGTGACTAAATGAAGGTCAAGAACAATTTTTATGATTTTAGCTTTTCTCATTGTTGAGTTATCGCCCTTTTTAATAATAAAAAATGGTACTATTATGTGATTGAGTTATTTCTCTTTGAACAGAAATGCTTAATTATATATATAAAGTTTGATTACACTAACATGACTAATTTTCACCTGTTGATAGATAACAGAGCATTTGGTATATATGTCTTATGATTGGATTGACAGATTTATTTGAAAATTTTCTTTTTCCCAAGTGTTGATGATTATAAGCTATATAGGACTGTATAAATAAAGTTAGGAATTTACTGTTCATTATTAGACATTTTGAAGATAATTACAGATAAGTTTTATAGATTTTTAAAAAGACATTGTGTTAATGATAAATAAAATTTTAAATTTTTATGCCACCACCGTACGTTCCGAAATTGGTTTCTGTTCTCTAACTTTAGTTTGCCTCGACCAAATGTTATGAAACATATACACAATGCTTATTACCACAAAACACAGATCAAGTTTAAATTTTGGTGGCGTCAATTTAACTGTCCTAGAGTTATGTCCCTTTATAAATGGAAAAATTGCTAAATTTTTATTTTCTTCTAAATATCAAGTAATTTTTACAAAAATTGGAGTTATCTTCCTTTGTCTGTGATTATAGTTGAGTCAACTACAATCAATGCTTTATACAATGCAATGTTTAATTTTGTCTTCCATTGATAAAACACAGATCAAGTTGAATTTGGGAAGTGTCATTTTAACCATTATTGAGTTATGCCCCTTTATAAATCGAAAGATTGCAAAATTTTTAGTTTCCATTCTGTAACTTAAGTTTGCCCCAACCAAACATTATGAAACCTATACACAATATTCATTACCACAAAACTAAGATCAAGTACAAATTTTTTGTTTCCGTTCTCTTACTTAAGTTTGCCTCAACCAAATGTTATGAAACTTATACACTATGCTTATTACCACAAAACACAGATCAAGTTTGAATTTTGGTGGCATCACTTCAACTGTTCTAGAGTTATGCCCCTTTATAAATGGAAAAATTGCTAAATTTTTGTTTTCTTCTAAATATCAAGTAATTTTTACAAAAATTGGAGTTATCTTCCTTTGTCCATGTTTATAGTCGAATCAACTACAATCAATGCTTTAATTTTGTCTTCCACTGATAAAACACAGATCAAGTTGAATTTGGGTAGTGTCACTTTAACCATTATTGAGTAATGCCCCTTTATAAAGCAAAAGATTGCAAAATTTTTAGTTTCCATTCTGTATCTTAAGTTTGCCCCAACCAAACATTATGAAACCTATACACAATATTCATTACCACAAAACTAAGATCAAGTACAAATTTTTTGTTTCCATTTTCTAACTTTAGTTTGCCTCAACCAAATGTTATGAAACTTGTACACAATATTCATTACCACAAAACTAAGATCAAGTACAAATTTTTTGTTTCCATTTTCTAACTTTAGTTTGCCTCAACCAAATGTTATGAAACTTATACACAATGCTTATTACCACAAAACTCAGATCAAGTTTGAATTTTGGTGGCATCACTTTAACCGTTCTAGAGTTATGCCCCTTTATAAATGGAAAAATTGCTAAATTGCTTATTACTACATAATACAGAGTAAGTACGAAATTTGGCTGTGACACTTTTACCATTCTTGAGTTATGTCCCTTTATAAACATAAAAATTGCTGAATTTTTCGTTTCTGTTCTCTAACTTTGTCTCGACCAAATGTTATAAAACTTATACACAACCGTTCTAGAGTTATGCATGTTTACAAATAAAATAAAAATTGCTGAAATTTAAGTTTCTGTTCTCTACTTAAGATAGCCTCAACCAAATGTTGTGAGACTTACACACAATGCTTATTACCACAAAACTCAGATCAAGTTCAAATTTGGGTAGCGTCACTTTTACCGTTCTTCAGTTATGTCCCTTTATAACTATATGATATGCAAGCGGGGGCATCATCTGTGTCCACATGTGGACACTATCCACATTTATTTTTTCTTTTCTTTGGTAAATTGTTTAAAGAATTTTGTGGTAGGTTTGTTTGATATTCTGTAAAAACTTATTTTGTGCCCAGTTTTCAAGTTGGTCGAAATGGGGGTCCAAAATTAAATTGTTTGATTTCAACATAAATTGAAAACACATTTGTATATAGGGTTCTTTGAAATGTTGTATCTAAACCTGTATTTATTTTAATTATTAATTAAATAATACCACATTCAGGTCCAAAGGGTCCTAAAATAAACTTTTCTTTAATTTCATCAAAATTTTAATTCTTGGGGTTCTTTGATATGCTGATTCTAACAATGTTTAAGTGATTACATCATATCTAATTTTATGGAGATTAGTTATCACTGGTTGATGTTATTATATGAATTTGAGTTATTATATGAATTTTGTGTTATTTCCCTTTCAACAGAAAGTAGTATTTCATATAAATTGAATTCTTGGGGTTCTTTGATATGCTAATTCTAACAATGTACTTATATTTTGGATATTGGACCATAATAGGTAAATGTCCAATTTCAAATTTATCAGTTCTTTGACCACATTCATTTTGGGTCACAAACTTATGCTGTGTCAAATATTCAATCACAATCCAAATTCAGAGCTGTTTTAAGCTTAAATGTTGTGTCCATACTTGCTCAACTGTTAAGGGTTCGACCTCTGCAGGAAAATCCGGTTTGCTGTCACTCTGACAGCCTCTTGTTTGTTGTTAGGTCATTTTCTCAGTTACATTAGGTAACTTTAAAAGAGACATTATGATATGAAGATGTTCATCTGATCTTAATTAAGATCATTTTTCAAGGTTCATTATAAAAGCTCTTTAGATCAATCGTGGTGAAAAGATTAAAAGAGGCCTCCTTTTATTATTCTAATTGTAAATGTAACTTTGGTTTGGAAAAGTAACTAATTCAGCTGACATTTCAGTTGAATGTACATGTGTTTATGCCAGAAAGTATAAGAGAAATAAACTCATTAGTGATTCAAAAGCCACTAATGTAAAAAATTAGTGGTCCTCCTGCTTATGGTAATTGAAAAATAGACCAAAACACAAAAACTTAACATTGACCAATGAACCATGAAAATGGGGTCAAGGGCAAATTATACCTGCCAGACAGACATGTACACCTAATAATTATTCCATACACCAAATATAGTTAACCTACTGCTAATAGTACTTAATAAAATGCTCCGCTGGGCGCAGCTTGATACGACCACAGAGGTCATACCCTGAACAGTATGGACACATCATTCAAGCTTGATACAGCACTGAATTTGGATTGTGATTAAATATTTGACACAGCATAGGTTTCTGACACAGAATGAATGTGGTCTAAGAACTTAAAAATTTTACCTATTCAAACCATATTATTATTATTTGATATATAAATCAGAAATAACCAATTTAAAATGGAAAATTTTAAAGAAAAAAAAATCCCCCCCCCCCCCCAATTTTTTTAACCTCCTTATGATTCATCACCCCCAAACTCAATCCCAGCCTTCCCTTTGTGGTATGGTACCTTGCAGTACAATTTCAGAGAGATCCATACACTTGAACACAAGTTATTGTCTGGAAACTAGAAAAAATGCTTGTTTTTTTACCCCTTTTTGGCCCCAAATTCCTAAACATTTAGGGCAATTACCCCCAAACTCAAACCCAGCTTTCCCTTTGTGATATGGAACCTTGTAGTACAATTTCATAAAGATCCATACACTTACACACAAGTAATTGTCCTGAAACTAGAAAAATGCTTGTTCTTTCCCCTTTTTTGGCCCCTAATTCCTAAAATTTTGAGGCAGTAACCCCCAAAATCAATCCCAGTCTTCCCTTTGTGGTATGGTACCTTGCAGTACAATTTCAGAGAGATCCATATACTTGAACACAAGTTTTTGTCTGGAAACTAGAAAAATGCTTATTTTTGGACCCTTTTTGGCCCCTAATTCCTAAACATTTTGGGCAATTACCTCCAAAATCAATTCCAGCTTTCCCTTTGTGATATGGAACCTTGTAGTACAATTTCAGAAAGATCCATACACTTACACACAAGTTATTGTCATGAAACTAGAAAAAATGCTTGTTTTTGCCCCTATTTTGCCCCCTAATTCCTAAAATTTTGAGGCAAATACCCCCAAAATCAATCCCAGCATTCCTTTTGTGATATGGAACCTTGTGGTACAATGTCAGAGAGATCCATACACTAACACACAAGTTATGTTTGGAAGTTACAAAAATGCTTATTTTTGGCCCCTAATTCCTTAACTGTTGGTACCATAACCCCCAAAATCAATCCCAACCTTCCTTTTGTGGTATTGAACCTTATGGTAAAATTTCATAGAGATCTATTCACTTTAACTAAAGTTAGAGTGTGAAAACCAATGTGTCTTCGGAGGACGACGACGCCAACGTCATACCAATATACGACCGCAAAATTTTTTTGCAGTCGTATAAAAACCGACCAAATCACAAAATTAAGCATTGACCAATGAACCATGAAAATGATGTCAAGGTCAAATGATACCAGCCAGACAGACATGTACACCTAACAATTATTCCATGCACCAAATATAGTTGTCCTACAGCTTATAGTACTTGAAAAACCGACCAAAACACAAAATTTAACATTGACTGATGAACCATGAAAATGAGGTCAAGGTCAGATGAAACCCACCAGACTGACATGTACCCCTTACAATGATTCCATACACCACATATAGTTGACCTACTTCTTATAGTATCTGAGAAAGGGACCTACTCAATTATCTTTAACATTGATCACTGATCCATGAAATGAGGTAGAGGTCAGGTGAACCTTGTCTGACAGACATGAAGACTTTGCAAGGAACCCATATACCAATTATAGTTACTGTGGATTCATTTATTTTCGTGGGTATCAATTTTCGTGGATTGCGAAAAACTTGCATTTTCGTGGATATCTGATTTCGTGGTTTAGCCAATCTCTGCATACAAAGCCTATAGAAAATTTGTAATTCGTTGAACATTTGAATTCGTGGTTCACCTGTACCCACGAAACCCACGAAAATTGATATCCAACGAATAATAATGAATCCACAGTATGTGAATTTCTCACTTATTATCCTATAGCTCATAATAAGTGAGAAATTCACATAATTAAAAAACTTACAAGCAGTCCTTGTACCATGAAAATTAGGTCAAAGACAATGGACATAATGACTGATGGAAACATCGTAACATAAGGTATCTGCATACAAGGTATGAAGCATCCAGGTCATCTACCTTCTGAAATATAAAGCGTTATACCAATAGTTTACACCCCTGCGGGATAATAATACCGGCCTCACATACTACAACTTTTATCGCAGGCGAGACAAAAAGGGGATGACAGGAATCGCCAAAAATACCACACATTGCAACAGACCACATCAACCACCAACACCTGACTCATACATAACACCAGACGTACCAAACAAAGGCAAAAAACAACATATCATCCAGATACATGAAATGCAGGTAAAAGTGACCTTATTTTGGTGGAGGATATTGTGCTCTCATAAACACACTAAGTTATGTAATGATAGGTCATTCTGAGAACTGATCAGTAAAACTCAAATTAATGATTGTTTAGAATAAGAGTGATCTGGCTGACAGTTATGGAATATCTGTTTCACAGATGACAACAGATATGTTCCAATTGTCGTAACTACAATCCCTCCCCCTTTGACCCAAATTTGACCTACAACCGGGTTTGTACTAACATGAGCAACTCAACGGGTGCCACATGTGGAGTAGGATCTGCTTACCCTTCCGGAGCCCTTGAGATTACCCCCAGTTTTTGGTGGGATTTATGTTGCTCAGTCTTTAGTTTTCTGTTTAGTGTTTTGTGTACTGTTTTTTGTTTGTCTTTCTTTTTAGCCATGGCGATGTCAGTTTATTTTCGACTTGTGAGTTTGAATGTCCCTTTGGTATCCTTCGCCTCTCTTCGGCTTTTACACGTATGTTCCCAAAGATAAACCTTAAAACTCATTTATTGAACTTATTTCTAATTATGAAATATAGCTGTAGATGAAAGTAAATTACTGTTAGAAAAGAAGCTTCTATGCTATCCTAAATGAACTCTTGCACTAAATAAATGAATAAAGGAATTTTTGGAATTAAATGACTACTTGGCCATTTTATTGTTTTCATCTACTGACAATTAGGTTTTAATCTAAGGGCATTGCATTTACTCAGACATAATGAACCCTTCATAGCAACAAACATTTTCAAAAGAAGATGGAAAGAATTTTTTATTTAAAATTAAGTTACATATCACATTTGTTACTTTTAACAACAAAAATAATTTAGAATTAATTTAATAACACTTCCACAAATAACATTCATCATAACTGTATCTAGACTTAATTATATACATCATACAAATTCTAAATATATACACAATACGAATTATAAATCACTGTATTTCAGAATATTGAATTTCAGAATATTCCAGCACTAGAGGTTTAAAGTAGTGTGCTAACAGGCGTAAGTAACAATTTTGACATACCATTGTGTTGATATTTTCTAATTATTTCTGATTCTAAGTACAGGGCTAAATTTATTCCAACAGAAAACTTTTCTTCGAACACCTTTCTATACTCCTTTTGATATAAAGTTAAAAATGATTTAAAGATAAGATTGTTCATAGACCCCAACACATTGGGAAAAGTCAGTTGTATTTAATGTTTTACTGTAACAATGCCATAAATTGTGTATTCACAGAAAGACTAGTTCTCCATATAGTTTAGCCTTAAAAATGATACAATTATAATGCTGAAAATACATTTAATTCATGAACTACACACCTATAAATATATTAAATACACAATTATAACATTGCAAAAGATTGTTCATAAACTTCAACTGACAATAAAAGGAGAATACATATAGAATAATAGCATTTTTGTTTTTGATACTGACTTTTATCAGCAAGAATATCAAGTGAGCTGATGAAGTCAGTATCAAAAAATAAAATGCCATCCTTCTTTTTATGGCAATTTGCCTTAACTGTATGTTCTTTTGGTTATATGAAGTAAAATGGAATAGTTAGTAAAAATACTTTTACGCGTACAAAATGTTGGGATAGTTGTTCGATTGTATGAATGAAGTTGTGTGCATTTCATTGATAACTTGACCTAGATGGACTTGAGCATGTGACGTTGCTGAACTAATACATGATGTCATTACCTAATCTAAGTCCTGTGTATGATCTTAAAAATATTAGGCAGTAAGATCAAAGGGAAAATGTATTAATTGCTGATAATGGTGATTATAAGACAAGTTATTGTAACCTATAGTAAATAATTTTATGGTAACAGTTTGAGTATTCTGTCAGTGCAGTGTAAATAGCTTTTTTTTTCAACTGTAAAATCTTGGAGTGATGATGCTATGTTCTCAAATACAGTAAATTTATTCTTGTACTAAAGTGACTTGAGTGTATGATAATCAGCAGCACAACTCATCTTTTGAACGTTTCCATGTTTAAGTAAAATGTCTGATTGATAAAAACATAATTACATTCTAAAGTTTGTTACATAACTTTCAACTTTATAATTGATGTAAATATATCAAGTGTTGCCTTTAACAGCAGGTATAGATTTTTTTTAACAATGATAACATAATAAGAACTCTTTAATGTGGGTTTTCATAAGCTAAAGAAATTCTTTTCATTTTAAGTATAAAGTTTTTTTTTATAGTCATGTGCGTTATCATGATTGAAACCTTTTAGTTAAGCTTTTGTTGTAAATTTGTATAGCTGAACTGAACTGGAAAGGCTTCTCACTATTTTATAATAAACATTGTTTAAGATTGGTCATGTACAATATTAAAGCTTATTTAATACACAATCTTCAAAAAATTTTTTTATCAAATTTAATGACAAAAATTAGCAAAATGTAGCTTATCTGGAACTCTGTATAATTTTGCTTAAAACATATAGCACATAAGCCTTACATGTGTTTTGTGAAGTAATATTAACACATATCACTTTCATCATCAGTACCTCATGGGAAAGTTCACTACTCTCAACAGTGACATTACCCCTGGATATACTGCAAAAATGATTAATAAAAGGGAATGTTTGGTTATAAAATGATAATTCAAACATGGATATATCTTAAATCAATTAAAAATTCAAAGATATAAAATGCTCTATTTCTAGATGAACTTGACAACAAACAAATTTTAGAAAAAAAGGTATATTAAACAATTGAAAAGCATGTTTGTCACTACAGCATTTAAGTTGCAAATATTAAACATGTAAGCAGCATTCACATATCTAGAGTAAGATATTGAAGTAATCATACAACATATGATCTATTAGTTATAATATTATGATTAACTTTAAAATGCATTTTATATATGTGACACAAAAGCTACAAATTGTTTTACAAACAATCACTTAACATACACTTATAGTTAAAAAAATGTTAATCACAGTTTCATATAATTTTGAATAAATCAAAATTTAAGTATATAAATAAGTTGGTCCATGTGAAAGTCATTTTAAGTCTTCACTGTGGTGGTGCATAGTCACTCATTCTGATGGAAAACAAATATCCAGCTCGTATAAGGAAGAGAACTCCTGATACAAAAGCTCCTGAAACAGATATCAATTATTTCAATATTCAAAATAAGCAAAATGCACATGTCGTCGTGCTAAATATACCCATAATTGTAATTCAAAGTATCGTATAAGGAAGAGAACTCCTGATACAAAAGCTCCTGAAACAGATATCAATTATTTCAATATTCAAAATAAGCAAAATGCACATGTTGTCGTGCTAAATATACCCATAATTGTAATTCAAAGTATTGGAAAAACAGGAAGTAAGTGTCTAACACATCTAAAAAGAGCTCACATGTAACACTCATCACTGTCAAGCTGTTAAATCTCATGACATTCTGTTCATTGGTTCATGATAAAGGTGTGACAGAAATATTTGTTGGTGATTGCAATGAAGACATAAACTAATTACTAATTATAAAACAAATCATGTCCACTGGAAAATTTTCATGCACATTATGGAAGATTTTTATGAAAAAAGGACCCTTAAAAATCTGTATAACATAATTATAGTGAAGATTACTGGGGTTAACAAAATGTTATGATTTATAGAGGCATTTATGTTCAAATAACACAGGGGACTCGGCTTAATGGTCTAAGTAGTCGAACTACTGTACCATTAGCCTGTCAACACTGAGGTTGTGATTTTGAATCCTGTACATGGTAGGTGCACTAATCTCAAATCTTAATTGACAAGGATTGTCAGTTTTTCTACTAAAGGTTGGTGGTTTTCTCTCAGCACACAGGCTTCCTCCATCAATACAAACGGACCGCCATGAAATATCAGAATAGTGCTGAAAGTGGCGTTAAACACCAACCAATCAAATAACACAACTAGATGTTTTTTTTTTTCATATTTGGTTGCAATTACATTGAAAACCGAAATCTATACATGTCATGTTTAATAATTAATTGAATTACAGTAAGCTTCTAACAAGCCAGTAGTGCATGTTTATATAAAGATAAGAAGATCGCGCATGATTGGCAATGACATGAATGAGACAATTTTCCACCAGAGACCAAATGATATAGAAGTTAATAACTATATATAGGTCATCATACTGCCTACAACAATGAGCAAAACCCATACCACATAGCAAGCTATAAAAGGCCCCAGTATGATAAATGTAAAACAATTCAAATGAGAAAACTAACAGCCTGATTTATGTGCAAAACAATATTAAAAAGAAAAACAAATATGATATACAGCAACAAACAACATCCACTGAATTACATAGGGATAGGCACAAAATGTGGCTTGGTAAAGCAGGTGTCCAACTCTCTCCCTTATCTGAGACAGCAATATTACATCATAACATAAGAACAAACTATAATAAACTGTTGACACAGAGATATTTTTTCAATTTGAAACTTTGATGGTATAATGCAAATGTTGAAATTAAAATGTCAATATTCAAACATGTAAACTATGCAAATCATTCAGTCATTGAATCATGACTGAAGGTGTGTGGCCAAATAACCTCCATGGAAATATGAAATGCCAATGCTTATAAAACTGCATACCAAATACCATTATCATAAGTGGTTCCCTTTAAACTAACCTAAACACAAACTTTAACTTGTAAGCTATGTAAAAGTTTCAAAGTCAATGAACCATGATGAGGGGGTAGGGCCATATACTGGTAATCTCCATGGAAATGAGACTTGCAGATGCCAATACAACTGCATACCGAATATCATTGACTAATCATTAGTTGTTCATCTTAACCTGATCTAATGACATACATTAACATGTAAATAATTCAAAACATTCAAAGTCAATGAACCATGACTAAAGGGGGGACTCAAACAATCTCCATGGAAATGAGATGTACCAATGTTAATACATCTGCATACCAAATATCATTGACCTAACACTAATAGTTCCCCTTAAACTGACCTAATCACAAACTAATATATGTAAACTAAGCCAAAGTTTCAAAATCAATAGACCATGACTGAGAGGTGGGGCAAAATAATCTCCATGAAATGAGATGTGCTAATGCTTATACCACTGCATACTAAATATCATTGACCTACCACTAATGGTTCCCCTTAAACTGACCTAAGCACAAACTAATAAATGTTAACTAAGAAAACAAGGGTTTGTCCATAGTACACGGATGTCCAACTCACACTATCATTTTCTATGTTCAGTGGAATACAAGTTTCAAGTTGATTGGACTTTAACTTCATCTAAAACTACCTTGACCAAAAACTTTAACCTGAAGCGGGACAGACGGACGGACGAACGGACGCACAGACCGAAAAACATAATGTCCCTAAGTGGGGCATAAAAATCACAAACTAATACATGACCATGACTGCGGACGTGGGGCCAAATAATCACCATGGAAATGAGATGTGCCAATGCTAATACAACTACATACCAAATATCATTGATCTACCACTAGTGGGTCCCCATAAAACTTGACCCAATCACAAACTAATACTTTTTTATAGCCGCCACCGTCGGAAACAGGACAGCTAAATCTTGCTTTTTCGATGTCATCAACACGAAACAAAGTTGAAAAGGGCTCAACTGGCCGATACAAAACAATTAAAAACAGCTAACCAAAGGACAAATCTGAGAGCACTCTAGTCTTTTAAAGATTCTCCAAACCTAAAATCAGTTAAGTTTTTCATGACTAATACCAGGGTTTCCAAGAACAACCTGAGACAGCAAGACTTTATTCCATCCAAAATTGAAACAAATTTGTGGAAGCAATAATAAGTGTGTAGTAATATATTAGTTTATTCTTTTCTACCACAAAAGTAAGCACCAGATAAAAACAAAATCAGATCTACATTTGCTGTATTCTTACCTATCCATGCAACATATATACCACCAGTTTCTGAAGCCAACTCATATGTACCAACCTTCAAAGACATCAAAAGCAATTATTTGTTGCAATACTATTGTACATTTAAGTATATCATTTTCTTTAAATAAAGTAAAACAAATAAGTTTATAACCTAGCACTTAAATGTTTCTACTTTACCTACATCCTCAAAAGGCATTCAAATTATAAGTGCATTAATTACTTACAGAATAGATAGCAATTTTGTTCACAAAAGTTTTTCTTTTTGTATATGCTGAAAATGTGTGCACTGGTAGTAAAATAACTTCTAAAGTGGTGAAATATTGTCACTTTTGAAATTTGAGAGTTTTTATAAATTATTTTGTTTCAATAAATAAATAATGGGAATGTGGTATGATTGCCAATGAGACAACTATCCACCAGAGTTGAAATAAGTCGATATAAACAATTATAGGTCACCCTACACGGCTTCATCAATGAGAAAAACCCATACTGTATAGTTAGCTATAAAAGGCCCAGACATGAAAAAACAAATCAAACGAGAAACCTAATGGCCTAATTTATAACAAGAGAATTTACGTAAAACAGATATGACAGACATGTACCAACCACAAAACTACAAGTACCCCGGTTTGTTTAAATGAATAACATGCATTTCACTTTTAGTTATTAGCTGTATCTTTAACTTCAAATATGGTACAACTTTGTCATGTTTTGTTCAAAACATTACTTTTCGATAAATATTCTACACTGTTTAGCCATAATTAGTTATTAGAATAAACATTATGAGTCATAGACTTCTAAGTTTTCCATCAGCGCTTGATTTTGTGTTTTTCTTCCTGCTTATAATTTTCACTCCCAGTGAAATTTTGTATAAATATTAAAGTAGGTTCTTGAGTCTTTATTAGGTTTTGACCAACAGTAAGGATCCAAGGAGTTTCTACGAGGTAAGAAGCAGGGCATCTAGCTGTATAGCTCTTGTGACATTTTAAATCAGTAATCATCGTAGCTTAGAGGTAAGAAGCAGCGTAGATTTTTTTTCAGATTCATTTGCATTGAGGTATTGGCTTAAATCCCACACAAATACACACAAGAAAGTTATTTTAGTAGCTCTGTCGTCTATGTAAATTACCAAGTTGTTTCAGGTTGTATATGTATGAGGGTATGGATTGGGGGTTGTTAATTTCTGTATTCTTACATTTTTATGGCATTTTTCTTTATTTCTAAAAATAACCCTTATTCTGTAAAATTCTCATGAAAATGATTGACTATTTATTGGTTTTGTAATTATATGATTTCTTTATTCTGCACACTGTTCATTTCTGTAATCAGTTTTGTATATTACCGAATTCTTTTATTCTCCACAGTTATTCTTTATACTTTTGCACCCCATTATTCTCTATTCATTATTTTTTTTGGCAATTATTCTCTATTCCGTGAATCCCATCAGGACCCACATGTATGAAATGTATCTGCTGTTTCAAAGATTTTATATTTCTTATGCTACCTTAATCAAGGTATTACTTTCTTCCACAAATCATTATTTATTAGAGTATAAAATATTATGTAACAGCATTCATGTAAAGAGGTCATTGTCCACATATAACGCAATTACATTGTGTATATCTCCCCCTATATTTAATTAGTTTGATCAATTTGTGCCTCAACCAAAATTCCAAATTATGTTTGCTTATTCTTCTCTCTCATGTGTAGTATCATAAAATCTGTACATATCTACTGACCAAAAATGAATTAAAGGCAGTAATTTGATAAAATTCTTAAAATAAATGTACGACACACAACACGAGTTACAGGTTGTTCACTTTATCTATGATAAATGACTATAGATTATTGATTATTGACCATCTAAAGTTTCTATTTAAAAGGAACAACAAATTATTTATATCGTGAGCTATTTTTCTATTTACCTATTTTATATAACAACAATATATATAATCTTAAACTGAATGTGGAATAGGCAAAGCATGTATAGCTATTAATTGGAATATTATAATATTAATTGGAATATTATAATATTGTATTACTGAATGTGGAATATAGCTATTAATTGGAATATTATAATATTAATTGGAATATTATAATATTGTATTACTGAATGTGGAATAGGTAAAGCATGTATAGCTATTAATTGGAATATTATAATATTAATTGGAATATTATAATATTGAATTACTGAATGTGGAATAGGTAAAGCATGTATAGCTATTAATTGGAATATTATAATATTGAAATACTGAATGTGGAATAGGCAAAGCATGTATAGCTATTTATTGGAATATTATAATATTGTATTACTGAACAATGCTGAATGATGAGTTTGTATAAACAGATCATCTCTGAGGTGAAATTGAAAAAATAAAAACATACAAAAAAATTACATATTTTTTCAATTTAAATTTAACTCTTTTTCATGTCTGTCCAAGTAACAAATAAATTCATGCCTAAAATACACAATATCTGCCCTTTTATTGATACTTACTGTAACACCTATGCCAGCACCCAAAAATATCAGTCCAGCTATCAAATATATCCATGCTCTCACTCTAACAGATGAATTTCCAGCAGTAGACCTGAAGTGTATAATATTTGCTTAAACCGATTGGAAATTTAAATAAATTTGTGTGAACATTTTTTAAACCAAAATTTTTTCAAGATTTTTATGAATTAAGCTGAATAAGTATAATAATCAAAGAGCTGAAAGCTCTGAGGGAAAATGGTGCCACTGTCTCTAATATTGTGATATTTTTTATGCAAGTTTGATTTTCACATACCGTTATTAGTTTAACATTCCAACATGTCTCGTAAGCATATAATTGATATTCGTATATGTGTGTGTTATGTGAAGATGACAACTGGCTGTTTTTTTAGTACAAATGTATAGGTCAAGACTACCTGAATGATCTACAGTATCCAATGACTACTGGCTGTTTTTTTCTATAAATAAATAGGTCAAGGCTACCAGAATGATCTACAATATCCAATGACTACTGGCTGTTCTTTTGTACTAATAAATAGGACAAGACTATTTGAATGATCAACAATATCCAATGACTACTGGCTGTTCTTTTGTACAGATAAATAAAGACTACCTGAATGATCTAAAGTATTCTGAGTAATGTGATTTTTGTCTTGCAATTACATTTTTCTAAATCAAGAATATAGACTACTGGTATCCTTTTCAAACCAAATGATTATGAAGAGCCTGTTGTTATCAAGCTCTTATACCCCACATACTCATTAAATAAGTTACTAGTGACCTAGTTATTTCTGTTACTTGAAGCAAATTATATTTCTGTAGATTTAGACAATAGTATAATATTGTTTTACTAGTTTTATTTCACCTTGAAGATTAGACAAATAGGGATACTCCTTTGATTTTTTATTTCATGTCAGTCAGGTCGCTTTATATGAAACTTGAAACCACTTCTCTGCCACATTGTTATTTCATAACAACTCTGCCCTTGACCATGTTGACCCATGTAATTGATATTCATTCTTTAACCATATATCATAGTCAGTTAGTTTTTGATTTTGCACTCCCACTGTTACTCCCACACCACCTTTCAGGTCAAATGTCTGTCTCTATTTAAGTTAATGACATTGAACAATCATGGTTTTAACACAATTTCAATAGTGATAATGCTGTTCTAGTAGGTCACCATATATTCAACTTGGGTAGCATTCCAGTTATTGAAATTTGTGTCAGATTAGAACAATGATCTAGACTTTTAGGAATGGATCTTACAATTTAATATGGAGCCATAGTATGGGACCCCTACACGGTAACAAAAAAAAACAAGCTTGAAAGGATACAACCTCAAGCGGCAAAATCTATCACCAGAAATTACAAGTCAAGAGAGGATGGGCGGGATACGTCTCTAAAATGCTTGCCTAACTGGAACTACAACAAGATCTCCAGACAAGACGAACAAGGAGTTGAAGCCAGAAGTTAATATTTATGTAAAAAGTAGTTGAGGGGCTGATTCCCGCTATTGAACCATACTGTCATTCTATAATATTATTGCGTAAGTATTTCTGTATTGTCCTTGTTATTGGTCCATGTCTTGGTGTATTGGTCTGAGGTGAAGATGAAGGCCAATACTGCTGGCCGAGGACCAACAATAAGGCCAATACAGAAATACATGTAATAGTATCTTTATTAATTAACTACAGTGTTACAATATTTTTTTATTTCATTTCACAAGAGATAAACATTTTTACCTTGAAGTAGAACTATCCAAATCTCAGTTTCTTTTTATAAGATGTAATATCTAATGATTTGGTGCCGTTTCCATGTATCTTCAGCCTTTTCTCATCTGATGAATTTTTCTACCCTTTCCAGTCACTATAAAGTGTTGCGACTTTAATTTAGACACAACACATAAATAGCAATTGGAAAGGTACTGCCATTGCATGTGTAATGCAAATATATTTAAAAAAATAATAATGTGAGAGTTGAAATTGATACAACTATCCATAAGCCAATTGACCAAAGAACGAAGATTTGCGCAATTACAGATTGCATATGCCTGGTTCGGGTTTAAAAATAAAAGACCGTTTACAAAAGATGAGAAGCGAAAGTAAACAGTAAAAATCGATTTGTACCATCGACATGATGAAATTATGAGGTCGTAAAGAAATGAACTTTGTGATAATTTACTCGTTCCCCAAACCTGAAATAATTCCATCGTCTAGTTTCAAAATGCTTTTCAAATGAATGGGACCGTCTTTAACCTAAAATATATGCCATACTGAACGTTTCAGCTTGTTTATGGTGAGTAAATAAAAACTGAGTCGTACAAAAAACTGTTTACTTTCAGTTTGAGTTTATCGTAAAATCCGAAATCCTGTTTTGGCCGGAATACGGAAAAAAAATCTGTATTGGCCGAGTTGACATCTTATATTGCATATGCAGTTTTCATCATATTAAGTACAATGACAGTGTAGTTAATTAATAATGATACAGTTACAGACTCTGCTACTATAACTTTGTAAACAAAGATTCATACGCACCGCGTGGGTATAACCGTATTACTAATTTCCGATTATTAAAATCTTCGTAAATCTGGGTAAAGACCAATGGATATCAAAATGATTCCGATTATTACTTTTTTAATGATTGTAAAGTTGAAATGGCATGAAAGGCTGACATTATTTAGGAGAACTATTTTGTCTAGCGATTGCTGATCATTGGAGGGTAAAAAGTCCAACACCATAACAAAACGGACCTATTTATCATGTATACATACCGATTGTTTACGATTGTAAGACATGTGCATAAAAGTGAAAGCTCGAATAAATATGAAAAATAAAACTAAAGGATAGCTCCAAATATCATTTAATAACAAAAAACATATGGACAGGTCAAGATATCTTTTTGGTAAATAAAATAACGTATGTAAACTGGTTCCCGTTCGACTACAACACTTTGTTCGGGTGTAGCGTCATTCCAAGCAGATTCCAGTTAGTATGTAAAATAGTTAATATGAAACCGAGTGCGGTAGGCGGAGGCATAATCAACTTCCGTTAGTTCTGGTCAATGGTTTCGGAAACATGCCGCTGATAGCGTCATTTTCCAAAAATTATTTATTATAAATCTTAAGAAAGAATGTTTCTCTTTCATCTTACATTTACTTAACTTTTAGGTTCAACGTACATGATATATTTCACAATTAATCCAGAAAAATATTTTAGATAACAGAAAAGAACAAGGTTCACTTTTGGAAATATATGGCTTTGCATTTCATATAATATCAAAAAGGCCACAATTTGGTTCTTAAATGGATTGGTTAGGGGAGGGTTAGCACCTTCAAACATTGTTTAACCCTGCCACATTCTATATGTGCCTGTCCCAAGCCATGAGCCTTGTAGTTCAGTGGTTGTTGTTGGTTCATGTCTGTCATATTTGTTTTTCGTAAATTGTTTTGTCATAAATTAGGACGTTAGTTTTCTCAATTGAATTGTTTCCTATGTTTTATGTAGGGGCCTGTTATAGCAGCCTATACAGTATGGGTTATTCTTATTGTTGAAGGCCTTACAGTTGCCTATAACTGCTTATATCCACTTCAATTGAACATTGATGGATAGTTGTCTCATTGGCAATCATACCACATCTCCTTATTACTTCAAAACCCTTAATGCTAGGTAAAACAAATATCTTCATGATAGTACATTATAGGCTTGTCACTTCAAAGTCAGTACATTTTGCAGATTTATTTTGGAGATATTATCAAATAAGACAATTTTGTGCATTATTTGGACCAAACAGCTTGTGGTTAACCTTGGTCGCAACGAACCTACAATCAAAATGTTCTGTTACTGTTAATCAAAGGAGTGGTTCTATTAGGCTCTGATGTGGCCCCTATTTTCAGCTCAGATTTTAAATAAGGATTCATAGAACAATATCATAATGAATCATAGACAAAACGATGACTAGATAAGAATCGGTCTCTTGTATGAAAATTTAAAAATTAGCGTCACAAATTTTTATTTTCCTAGAAATTCAAGGAAAACAGGTTAATTTCCATTGGATTTTAGGACCGTAAACATACAGGGCATACATGTATGTCGACAAAATAGATCTTTTGTTATAACAAACTAAATATCTGACTCGAATATTAAGCTTGTTGAAACCCTGCACTCTGTGGTTCTGATGTCTTTTTAGGTTGACTTTCACTAAAATTTAGGCCTATTTTGGGGGTAAATGTTTAACCTTTATAAGAAAAGTTCAACAAAAATAGTTCCACATCACTAACATGTCTATTTAGTCATCTTGAAACAATGGACTTGATATTTCGGGGCCAACAGGGCCCGTACCAAACTTGCTCCTGAAGACAAAGGGTATTGTTAGTGATTTTACTTTGATAGCAAAATGAGCACAAAAATGCACTCATAAAATTTCCCATTATACAGTATTTCTATCAATTCATTTATACATCTTTGGCTTTCTAACGTTTTGGGTCTGAGTATTCCAGATAAGGGTTAATTTAACAAAATTTGCTGTTTCTCTTTTATCATAATGTAAAATATATACTGTGGATTCATTTTTATTCGTGGTATACCAATTTTCGTGGGTTTCGTGGGTCACAGCGAACCACGAATTTAAGAATTCAACGAAGAATAATCCCGAGAAATGTGTATGGAGTCGGATGTTTATTTCCGGTTATGTTATGCAGTTCTAGTAAAGTGTTGACTAGCGATAAACATTGTAACATAACACGTGTTTTTAATGAAAGATGATACAAGTATTTTGATTAAATCAATAATAAATATATCGAATATCAGTGATAATTTACTTTTTAAAATTGATTAAAACTGTTCATGGAAAATAACTGCAAGTTGTTAATTACCGTGTCATTGTTTGGTTTACTGGTGATAAAGAATCGATAGGATTAAGTACATGGATATTGCCCGTAGGTAATATTGTTTATGACAGGTGCATGTATTTTCACACCTTTTACTTATATGACTGTTTATTATATCGTGATTAGGGAAATGAGCTTTCAATCATTGAGTTTTAAATGCCTTATAAAATTCCGACAAGAATTTATAAATTGTAAAACAAACAAATAATTAGTTGTCTCTGTCCATTATTGTAATAGAAGTTTTCAATGAACACTTTAACCTAGAATGACCAAGCGAGGATTTTGACAATTCAAAACTTTTTCAATGAATTCCTTCTTTTTTGTTTGTTTTATTATTGATCAAACCAAGGAGGTTATATGATCTAAATCAAAAAGAAATCCACGAATTACGTATCTGATTTTTTTTTTGTAATCAGCGATCCACGAATTTACGTGTACCACGAAACGTCTTTTTTTCTCTATCCACGAAAATTGATACCCACGAAAATAAATGAATCCACAGTATTTGATCAAATATGCACTGGGGTCACCCACTTGTTAAAACCATTGCCCCGGCAGTTCTGTATGGCTAGAGATTATAGATTCTGCTCTAATAAATAGCTTTTGGGTAGTACTACGACGAGGGGCCAAAGAATTTCTGGGGTAAGCATTCCTAGAGGACGAAAATTGCGTCCGAAACATGGAAATAAAGCCAAATTCGATAAAATACGCATTGGGGGCACCCACTTTCCGACCCATTGTCTCGGTAGTTCTTTATGGCTAGGCATTATAGACGCTGCCCAAAGGAATAGCTATTGGATAGTACTACAACGTGAGGGTAAAGAATTTCTGGGGTAAGCATTCTTAAAGGCCGAAAATTTCGTCCGTAACACGGAAAAAAAGTCATATTTGATCAAATATGCACTGGGGTCACCCACTTGTTAAAACCATTGACCCGGCAGTTCTGTATGGCTAGGGATTATAGATTCTGCTCTAATAAATAGTTTTTGGGTAGTACTACGACGAGGGGCCAAAGAATTTCTGGGGTAAGCATTCCTAGAGGACGAAAATTGCGTCCGAAACATGGAAATAAAGCCAAATTCGATAAAATACGCATTGGGGGCACCCACTTTCCGACCCATTGTCTCGGTAGTTCTTTATGGCTAGGCATTATAGACGCTGCCCAAAGGAATAGCTATTGGATAGTACTACAACGTGAGGGTAAAGAATTTCTGTGGTAAGCATTCTTAAAGGCCGAAAATTTCGTCCGTAACACGGAAAAAAAGTCATATTTGATAAAATATGCACTGGGGTCACCCACTTGTTAAAACCATTGCCCCGGCAGTTCTGTATGGCAAGGGATTATAGATTCTGCTCTGATAAATAGCTTTTGGGTAGTACTACGACGAGGGGCCAAAGAATTTCTGGGGTAAGCATTCCTAGAGGACAAAAATTGCGTCCGAAACATGGAAATAAAGCCAAATTCGATAAAATACGCATTGGGGGCACCCACTTTCCGACCCATTGTCTCGGTAGTTCTTTATGGCTAGGCATTATAGACGCTGCCCAAAGGAATAGCTATTGGATAGTACTACAACGTGAGGGTAAAGAATTTCTGGGGTAAGCATTCTTAAAGGCCGAAAATTTCGTCCGTAACACGGAAAAAAAGTCAAACTGTGGATTCATTTTTATTCGTGGTATACCAATTTTCGTGGGTTTCGTGGGTCACAGCGAACCACGAATTTAAGAATTCAACGAAGAATAATCCCGAGAAATGTGTATGGAGTCGGATGTTTATTTCCGGTTATGTTATGCAGTTCTAGTAAAGTGTTGACTAGCGATAAACATTGTAACATAACACATGTTTTTAATGAAAGATGATACAAGTATTTTGATTAAATCAATAATAAATATATCGAATATCAGTGATAATTTACTTTTTAAAATTGATTAAAACTGTTCATGGAAAATAACTGCAAGTTGTTAATTACCGTGTCATTGTTTGGTTTACTGGTGATAAAGAATCGATAGGATTAAGTACATGGATATTGCCCGTAGGTAATATTGTTTATGACAGGTGCATGTATTTTCACACCTTTTACTTATATGACTGTTTATTATATCGTGATTAGGGAAATGAGCTTTCAATCATTGAGTTTTCAATGCCTTATAAAATTCCGACAAGAATTTATAAATTGTAAAACAAACAAATAATTAGTGGTCTCTGTCCATTATTGTAATAGAAGTTTTCAATGAACACTTTAACCTAGAATGACCAAGCGAGGATTTTGACAATTCAAAACTTTTTCAATGAATTCCTTCTTTTTTGTTTGTTTTATTATTGATCAAACCAAGGAGGTTATATGATCTAAATCAAAAAGAAATCCACGAATTACGTATCTGATTTTTTTTTTGTAATCAGCGATCCACGAATTTACGTGTACCACGAAACGTCTTTTTTTCTCTATCCACGAAAATTGATACCCACGAAAATAAATGAATCCACAGTAAGCAATATAAGATTCAAAAGAAAGACCCCATGTGATTGTAACCCATTTTTCAAAGACATAACAATAACCATAAACGGATATACTTACACCCGTCTGCAATATGGACATCTGGCTAGCAAAGCACTTCCTTGATTAAACTATAAAAAATAAATGTTAAATTTTAATGTCCTTATAAAGACTATTCTTGTCTGATTTACATTTAATATTTCAAAACAAACTGTGTTCATAATAGTGATGCACAAATGCTTCTCAGTAGGTTTAGAAAAAAAAAAAGACTCTTCTATGGTTGGGTTGTTGTCTCTTTGACACATTCCCCATTTCCATTCTCATTTTTATCTTAATCAAACTGGAGCAAAATTCATATATATTCAAGGAACACTTACCACAAATACTTGAGTGCAGTATGCACAAACAAATCTTGCTGACCCTGGTGCTCGCACTGTTACCATAGGAACAGGATTTCCAAGATGGATAATTCTTTTACTTAATTAAAACAACAAATTGGTATAAGTCATTTACCTTTTAATTCATCACAACTGACATTTTTTATGCAGTAAAAAGTAAAAATATACAATTACAAAATGTCCTTACTTCAAACAAGGAATAGGGCAAATGAAAACAGCTCATATCTTTTTGCTTGGTTCAGTCTTTCATAAACCTTACTGTAAATTTGAAAGCCGACATAATCATCCAAAATTGAATGAAATATCAGGTTTTTTAATGTTTCCTAATTGAAAAGATAAAAGTAGAATAAAAACTGAGTGAATTATGAGAACCAAATTAATTCATTTTATTGAAAATGTTAATATCCTTCAAAACCTTTATTAAAGAATTAAAGTCACTTAGTATAATTTCAATTGGGTGTAAAAGCGTTCACCAAAGCACATTTAGTAGTAAGCATGATCAACGCTTTTACAACCCTATAAAATTATAATAAACTGCTTCGCTGAGCGCAGCATGATAAGCCCGCAGAGGTCCAACCCTGAACAGTTGGGGCAAAAATGGACACAATATTCAAGCTTGATACAGGTCTGAATTTGGATTGTAATTAAATATTTGACATATTACAGGTTTCTGAATAAATGTAGTCAAAGAACTTGAAATTGGTTATATGAATTGAATTTATATTCAATTAAAGATGTCTTGCTGTTGTGCAATACACTGTGCTGTTGCACAATACTTAGTAAATCTGTTGTCAGACTATAAACAAATAAAGTTCAATTATTTCTCAATGTCATATTAGAAATTTATGAAAATCAAAAGGGAGCTTACATCAATAGATATAAACAATTCACCAAAGTTTCATGAGAATTGCTGACAGCATTTTTGAGTTATTGTCCGAAAACTGGAAAATCCCCACTTTTTTAATGAATATAACCCCATAACTCAGAAATGTAAAATGTAAAATTTATAAAATTCTAAAGGGAGCTTACTTACATAGATATAAACAATTCACCATAGTTTCATAAGAACTGCTGAAAGCATTTTTGAGTTTTTGTCCGAAAACTGGAAAATCCCCCTTTTTTATGAATTAAACCCTGTAACTTGGAAACATAAAATCTAAAATTTATAAAAATCGAAAGGGAGCTCATGTCAATAGATAAAAACAATTCACCACAATTTCTTGCAAGTTGGTGAAAGCATTCTTGAGTTATTGTCCGAAAACTGGAAAATCCCCCTTTTTTTAATGAATAAAACCCCACAACTCAGAAATTTAAAATTTATAAAAAACAAAAGGGAGCTCACGTCAATAGATATAAACAATTTACCAAAGTTTTATGCAAATTGGTTAAAGCGTTTTTGAGTTAATGTCCGACATGTTGACGACGGACAGACGGACGGACGAACAGACGGACAACAGTATACCATAATACGTCCCGTAAACGGGCGTATAAAAAGATGCATTCAATTCTTATAATTCCAATTTAATGCTACAACCATGAAATAAAGAGTTATATCAAGCTTTCCGTTAGTTTTTCTATTGATTGTTTTAATTTTGTCATGGATAGCACGTGCAGTCATAGCTGTTGTATTTTATATGGAAATAAAATCTGATATTGGAGTGCCTAACGATTGTTGTCAGCCAATCAAAAATATGGATTCTAATGAAACATACATGTAATGTGATTATTCACCTTTCAAAATTCAAGGCTAATTCAGATATTTACATATGTTATAGATAATTGTCCATTGTGGCGGAGTATACATTATGTATGTTGACCTCTAGATGTAGTTTCTGGGTGTTGATTGGTTGCTGTCGCATTGATGTATACCTCATTCTCCTTTTTTTATTACTACATACCATTGTTGTCTAGGACAAGCAATTTTAGCAGCTCCGCTCCGACAGATAAGTAAACAGTTACAAGGACATCTTACATATTGTTTCCCAGGTGGTGCTGCTTTGATAGGCTGTTGAAGTGAAATTCAAAATTAAAAACTAAGTAAAGCTGTAATGTACTATCAAAATACTGTGTACTTAAATTTGATAGTTTTCTTTATTCAAACTAACTCTTGAAATTCTGGATTTCAGAAATTTGACCCCTACATTTGTATACAAGTAATATTTTTCTTTTAAAAATTTATATATATATATATATATATATATATATATACATTTTGTCTAAACATCAGCCCAACAATGTTAGATCTGTAAATTTCCTTTCGCAAATTTTGAGTTCTTCCCTCGCCGGGATTCGAACTCATGCTACTGAGATATCTTGACACCAATTTGCCTGCAATGTATCCAACGCGCTAGACCACCCGACCACCTAAGCTTCACAATAATAAAGCTTACGGTGGCCAGGTGTTACCTTTCCTCGTCAGTTTTAATCTAGTGTCGTAATACAGTACATGATATATAAGGCATGAAGATGGAATACTTACAGATCAGCTGAAATATCTATTGTAAAGGATCCTACAAATTAATGCAAGATACAGTCAAAAGAAATAATTATATTTATAAGTATGTCTGAACCAGTGACAACTCTACAACAGATTTATCCATTGGATCACCAGCAGTGATGGTGATACATGGCTGTGTACATTCTGTATATACAACTCGTCTAAACATCAGCCCAACAATGTTAGATCTGTAAATTTCCTTTCGCAAATTTTGAGTTCTTCCCTCGCCGGGATTCGAACTCATGCTACTGAGATATCATGACACCAATTTGCCTGCACTGTATCTGATGCGCTAGACCACCCTACCATCTAAGCTTCACAATAATAAAGCTTTCGGTGGTCGGGTGTTACCTTTCCTCATCAGTTTTAATCTAGCGTCGTAATACAGTACATGATATATAAGGCATGAAGATGGAATAGTTACAGATCAGCTGAAATATCTATTGTAAAGGATCCTACAAATTAATGCAAGATACAGTCACAGAATAATTATATTTATAAGTACCTCTGAACCAGTGACAACTCTACAACAGATTTATCCATCGAATCACCAGCAGTGATGGTGATACATGGCTGTGTAAATTCTGTATATACAACTCGTCTAAACATCAGCCCAACAATGTTAGATCTGTAAATTTCCTTTCCCAAATTTTTAGTTCTTCCCTCGCCGGGATTCGAACTCATGCTACTGAGATATCATGACACCAATTTGCCTGCACTGTATCTGACGCGCTAGACCACCCGACCATCTAAGCTTCACAATAATAAAGCTTTCGGTGGCCGGGTGTTACCTTTCCTCATCGGTTTTAATCTAGCGTTGTAATACAGTACATGATATATAAGGCATGAAGATGGAATAGTTACAGATCAGCTGAAATATCTATTGTAAAGGATTCTACAAATTAATGCAAGATACAGTCACAGAATAATTATATTTATAAGTACGTCTGAACCAGTGACAACTCTACAACAGATTTATCCATCGAAAACTTTATTATTGTGAAGCCTAGGTGGTCGGGTTGTCTAGCGCGTCGGATACAGTGCAGGCGAATTGGTGTCACGAAATGGATCTTAATTTTAAATTTAATACTAAACAGAAATCAATAAACTTGCGGAAAAGATAACTCACTGAACTTACATTTTTAAGAGTCAAATATATAAATAACATTTATACATGACAACTCAGATGACAATACTAAATCTGCTACACAGTTAAAGAAGAATAGAAAATAAGTAATTATAAAGCTGATTTTAAACTCACCGTTGCTTCATTACAGACAGTACATTTTATTACATGTTGATTGGTTTTGCCTTCTATGTTTATTAAAGCCTGACATACTTTACAGTTGATCATCGGTAGGCCACCTTGTGGTGTGTAAGGGGGAGGTAACTCATTTGGTGCAATTGGTGGAACAGTGACATTCTGTGATACAGCTATAAAATAATAAATATTCACTTTATAGGTAATCATCTTAATAGAACTTACATACTAATTAAAAATTATAATAGCTATAATTTTAATTTCAATGTAATGGTATTTCAATATTCTCCATCTCATTAACTCAGTAAAATTATGATTACAATAGACAAGTAAAGCAAAGTTATATTATCTACTTTATAACAGATGTAAATTTCATACTTTACATCAATTTAAAAAAAAATCTTATCAAAGCACTACTTGCAATTTTTTTATATTTAGTACACAAGTTTCAATACATGAATACATATTGAATCTTCTGCTTCAGCATTCAAAATAGTTAAAATGAGGAAGGCAGATAACCAACTACCTCCCTCTATTGAAAAGCCTCAGTATACTTTTTCAGTGAAGGAAGTTTAGTTCGAAATTTGTGGTCTGCTGCCAAAAATTTTATCATAAAACCCAAGAAAAATAATATCGAACAAAAATATAAGGATTTTGCAATATGCCCTATACATTCAACTTCTCAAGCATGTTTCATAAAAGAGTTGGCTGTGTAAATAGTGCCTATTTGTATTGTTCAAAATTTATCATGATACTTTTTCATTACATCATTTTATAATCAGAAATTTTCTTCACAGTAATTGGAACAACTCCTCAAAGTTGCTCATTCAGACAATTTTCAGTGTTCTGCCCTACTTTTGTTGCATGAATTTCACTCATTTGGACAATTTATATGAGTGAAGTCCTGTGCCACTGGATGAATGTAAATCATAAACATTAAAAAGACAATTCTTTGATGCAACTACCATAACTAAATAAGATTTATGATCAGCAAGCAAAAGAATGTCTCTTTATTCAATTTATTTAAAATTTCATGACATGAAGTAATCTGTCATCCTCCTTTTCCTTACCGCTCCGGCACTGTCATGTTGTTCATGTTTGTAATATGCTGTGAATATGATATTTCTACAGCCTGAGCACAATCATACAAACAAACCATGAATGGGGCTACAATAGGGTACACCATTAAGGTCATGAAGTCATGTTTAAAATTTGCCTCAGGTTAAATTACCAGGTCACTTTTAAGAAAATAAAACATTTAAATAAATTGGTTTTGCACATTTTTCTAGGTCCTTTTAAATGAGACATTAGGTTCCCCGCTACAAATATCTGACAACTTAAATTGAACAGTCATGACAGTGGCGTAGCTAGGCCATTTCTTGGTGTATGGCAAACCTTGGGTGATGGGTCTGGGGACGCTTCAGGTCCAACACCCTTTTATTATATTTCTGAATAAAACAACATAATTGTAGAAATTTCAGCATACACAGTTTTGCTAGAACTAGAGAGTATGAATATCGACAGTCAATACTTAAGAAATGAAATATATTTAAAGTACAAAGTCAGAATTAGTACAGTAGAACATTTTCCTGTTTTGTGTGAAGCAAATGTTTCTATAACCCCTTTACATTAATATAGATTCTCTTTGAATATGCATTAACCTTAATGCAGATAGTCTCTCTTGGTACATAGTAGTTTTTACCCTACGCAAAACACTAAACGATCTTTCTGCAATAGCTGCAGCAATGGACACAATAATCAGATCTTTCTGCAGTAGCTGCAGCAATGGACACGATAATCAGTACAGTGTTTATGTTCCAAATTCAGGGATACAAGCCTTTCCTTGTCATATTTAAAGTTTCACAAAGAGACGACGGTTGCTGTGCTGAGAAACTCCATGGACGATCCAACGATCAACCTCAGTTTTGAAGAAGTCTAAAACTTCAGGGAAGTCATACCTGTATACTGTAAATATTTCTTCAAGTTTAGTATCTGTAATTTGATTCCTGGTGGTTTGTATATGTAGGTAACAGGCAGTTGGCTTGAAATCTGGACTAGTCACAATGTGTCTTTGTTGTAGTTCAAGTTGAGGTATTACAATTCGACATTCCTCTATAGCTGATGTCTTATAATGAAAATTACGTAAGATGTGTAAAAAGATGTGATGGAGACAAATTCTATATCATAATGATACCTTGCAGGAAACCCAAAACTGTGCATAGACTCTCTTTCTTTCTGGAGAATGTTTTTTTTTTTGTCTGATTGTCTTGTAGGTTAGATTCTGTGAATTTCCCTATATCAATATAGCTTGAGCAGTCACTTGTACTCGGTAATTTACAAATCCACCACAGTATGACTTTGTAGAATCAACAGAAATTTTCTCTTCCATTGGTATCTGACTAATGTTATTCTGTGATGAAGTAGCAGTATATGATATTGGCTTTAAAATCATCTTTTTATTTCATCGACATTTTACAAGTAGTAAAGACTTTATCGAAAACTAGATATGAATCAATGAAACAAAGTTGTTCTTTGGTGATGTCATGTATTGAATACCTCAGAATGAATTGAGACCTGTTCGTTAGATGTGTTTGAGCTTTTGATTTTGCCATTTTATAAAGGACTTTCCGTTATGAATTTCCCTTGGAGTTCGGTATTTTTGTTATTTTACTTTTCCCATATGTTTTAATGCATCTGCAGTGGCCAGGGTGCGAATAAATGAAGATGAAGGCATTTTAAAGTAAATTGACAATTTCAAGTCTTGTAGTGATTTATGTAACCATTTATATATGTTTATTATCTGGACTTCAGTGACATATAAAAAAATCTAAATTTATAATAAATGCTTTGCCCAATTAAATCCTTAATGTTGTTTCCTTCAGACTGTCAAACACTGACACTTACTGTGTTAACCTGATATTATACACAATAAATTCCTTTAACAAATATAAATCTGAGTAAAATTTACAGTAGAGTCAAACTTTGACAGAAAATGAACAAATATATAATATAATACCATTTGATTAAAAATTAAATTTCATCACTTTTATCTTCAATTACAAGTCATTGAAGAAAGAATTACAAGGCTTGTGCGCCTATAACCAAATTGAGTTTTTTTAATTGATTAAGATTTAATTTTTCTCCAACATTTATGTGTATGCCCGGGTTTTTTTACATAAACATAGCTACGCGGATGATGAATAACCCACATCTCAATTGTAGCCAAGAAAGCAAATTCACAACTAGGGTTTCTCAGATGCAACCTACGATTCTGCCCAAAAGACTGCAAGAAAACAGCTTATTCTCATGAGTAAGATCCACAATGGAATATGGGCCAATAGTATGGGATCCATAAACCACAAACAACATTAACCAACTAGAAAGAATCCAGAGTAGAGCTGCATGATTTTTCACAGGGGATTACAAATTTAGAGAAGAAGGAATGGTCACCAAAATTCTCACTGTCTTAGAACTAGAAAATCTGCAGTCCAGAAGAACTAACCAAGGGCTGGTATTTCTGTACAAAGCAGTTTAGGGTTTAGTTCCAGTTATCAAACCTGAAGAATTTTTGGTAAAAGCAAAACAAAAAGGATTATTACATTTTGAAGACTTTGAAAGTACAAATATAGTTAACAATTCAGTCAAGAACAACTCAAAGTCACTTGATACAAAACTGAACAATTCAAGAACTCATTCTTCTTAAAAGAGACTGTGATTCATTGGAACCAGCTGGAAGAAGATACAGTGTTCACGAAGTCAGTTGAGAGCTTCAACACCACCAATAGGTGTTCTTTCCCTTCAAGTTAAATCCAGAAATGGTATATTCAACATAACAATACAGAGTATACAAATATACAAATATTTCACAAGTTTTCTGCATACATTACGCATGTCTTTAACTTTTACTTCCTGATCAATTACTTAATTGATATTCTTTTATAAATGCATAACTAGACAATGTCATCATACACTAGATTTGAAATACAATTTTAAGATTGAAGCATGCTTATTCAAAACCTAAACATAATTTATCGAAATTTATAATCATCTGTTTTCGATGGTTTACACTTATCAATTTGGTCAAATATATCTTCCATAACATAATTTTTTTACGTTTAAAATTTATTGTGAAATAAAAGCTTTCGTCTGAGTTTCGGGCGTTGTCATGTTATGAAATATATAATATTAGTTAACAATAACTGCTAATATGTGTTACCATCATTATAATTTGGTGGTGGTTCACCGGGAGTGTCGTTTTTTAGCAGTGGTGTGTTTTCGTCTCCGACTTCTGCCATTTTGTTATTATAAACGTATCATGTGATAAAAAATAAAACCATGTGACCTCTTTATCAGCTACAGTTGAACCATAACGAAAACTACACATAAGAATGCGCAAAACTTGAATTTATATTCATATATTTAAAAGAATAACTATTATTCCGAGAAAAGTAACTAAATGATTTGTATTCCTAATATCCAACCAGATTAAAAAAAAAAACGGTTTTGGTGTGCTCGAATCATCGTGTCGAATTAAATGCACTCAGCCCAAGTAGACCGATATCTATGGCTATTTGGGAATCTACGACACTTGAAATATTTACGTCATATAAGATTCACCTTTGTGGCGTCAGACATTTTCCATTATGACGTCAAAATTTTACAGGAACCTTTAATTTGTGATGTCCAGTAATGGCGGACAAATAGCGATAAGGTGTATTGTATATCTAAATATACAATTCCTTCACTCAGTCACACTTGTCACGGTATTGTAAATGATTATAGATTAATTGATTGTTGTCTGCTTAACTTTCATATGCGAAAATATAATGTATATTCAGGGCGATAAAAAATTATCAATAAATCCATGTTGACAACAGGTACAATTTCTGAAATGTGGGCGCCGACCCGGATGAAGGGCGGGAAATTTAAACTGATGTTCTGGGTATGTTGGATAAAGACACACGTTCTGCCTTGCAAGTGGCCTCACCCAAATAGATTTGCAGAGAGCGTGACAAGTCATCGGAGTTTAACAAAGACGGTAACTCTTTAAGTAATAATGAAGGTAGACTCACGAAAACCCTTTTCGATAACCTACATATTCAATCACAGGCACTTGTTTCTATCCATGGGAAGCCCCACTATCAACGTATATTTACGAGTAAATATACGTTGATAGTGGGGCTTCCCATGTAAGTATACGTTGATAGTGGGGCTTCCCATGGATAGAAACAAGTGCCTGTGTATTCAATCACGAAAAGCTGCTCTCTGTTTAAGGGATTGAAATAAACATTTTTACATGAGATTACTTTAACTATGCTGTATTATAGTAATCTCAGTTTTTACCTAGAAAAATGCATGAGCTGCAAGTTAAGTTGATTTTGTTATTTAATAACTGTAAATCTTTCCTGCACAATACCAATAAATACCGTGAATATTTGTTTAAATGTGAAATAATTAAAAGTAAACGACGAAAAATAATCCATGTTTCGACCACTACACACTGATGGCAAGTCCATATACACATCCGTTACCACTGTGTGTGCCATGAACCCAAAAATAAGCTTTTTTTTTAATTTAAAAAGAAACAGTTGTGGTAGGATTTCCCATGAGACAAATTTCCACCTGAGACTGGCCAATTGACGTAAAAGATAGCAACTATAGGTTACCGCATGGTCTTCAATAAAGAGCAAAACCCACACCACATAGCAAGTGGTTCAGTTAAATTGCTGACACTTGATAAAATTGTAAATCATTTTAACCTCGTAAATACACAATAAAAATAACCTACTGTAGTTTTAAAACCACAGTGAATTTATAAAAAGGCGGAAGACACCAAAGGGACATATAAACTTTTACTGAGTCGAAGACAAGTAGGCAAATACTATACAAAACTGAGGAGCACGAACCCCACTAAATCACGGGGGCATCTCAGGTGCTCCGAAAGGGTAAGCAGATCCGGGGAAATATCAGGTGCTCCAGAATGGTAAGCAGACCCTGCATAATACGTGGCACCCGTAGTGTTGTATACATGTTTATTATTTTGCATGCGATGACAATATATGTAGACACAATCCGATTTCACGCTGTAAAAATAGCACAACAGTTTCCGCGACGCAAATATAATCAAGTATAACAACAATATATATGCCCCAATAAGCATATTTTTTACCCGCTCATTGGGGCTGAACTGAATCTCCTCTTTAGACGGTGAAAAAAAAAATCACTTGGTTTAGATATTGATATTTTTAAACAAAAAAAAACGTAATTTCTTTATTATGGATAACAGAAGGTGTGGGGTATAGTTAAATGAGACAGTAACCCAGCGACACTAATAATTAAAAGACACACTGAGGTCAATATTTAGTCTTATTAATAGACTATATTTATATATATATTATATATATAAATGCCTAAAAAGTGTACAAAACAACACCAATAACAAAAAAAAAGGAACATTAAATGTAATTATCTATAAATATATTTCGGATAACAGATATCCTTCATCAGTATGATTATGATGTAAAATGAATCATATCAATCTGTTCTGATTAAACTATAACAAGCTTGAAATTTATACAATAAAACAGTTAAAAACGAACATCATAGAGACGCTTGTACAATTCTAAAATTTCAAAAATGACTAAAGTTATATAGCTATTTACAACAGAGACTGCAAAGATATGCTTCAAATAAAAATAGTAATGTGTGATATGAAATTTGCCCGCTCCTAAAACAAGATAACTTATCATATTTATGAAATAAAGTTGGACTATTTTTTTTACTTTGCTTTTAAGATAATAATGGCGCATAGTGTGAAAAGGGTAAGATCAAATGTTTAGAATAGCCTTCCCTCTATTCTATGGACTGAATACACGTTGTTCATTTTATCTCTTTTTTTTTCTTGGTAAAAAATTGGCAAGCAGTGCAATGGAAACTACGCCGCTGTTACTGCTGCATTAATCCTACATGGTATTAAATTATTTTTTTTCACAGAAATAGGACTCACATGTTTCTTATAGATTAGCTAAATATTGTAGAATATGGTATGTTGACCTGTATAGTTGTCCGTTGTTTTTTTTTTTTTTTTTTTGGTTTTTTGTTTTTTTTTTTAGGAGGGGTCTGTATATATATATACAAGTCTAAATTGAAAACAACGTTCAAACCTATGATTGCGTTGGATAAAAACCGCAATTTTTATACGTGTGCATGCAAAATAAATTTCTTGGTAGAGGGGTCTAAATACAGCACAAACAACAATTTCCAAAAGACCAAAAAGAGTGAAAAAGTATATTTTAACAAAACGCATTTGACTAACAGGTCGAACAACTGATGTTCTTAAACCATGCTGACTGCCATTGACGATTGCCAAATAAATTGATCACAAGATTTAACAAAATGGATCTTAATATTAATTTAATACCAAACAGAAAACAATAAACTTGCGGGAAAGATGGTATACCACAAACATGAGGTGCAAAACTTTGTACACTATATCCGGATTTCGACAATTAATGTCTCTTCAGTGATGTTAGGGATCGAAACGGTATTTGGAAGGCCATATAATTTACCTCAATTTAGGATAGACTCTTGAATTTTAAAGAGTCGAAATATATATATATATAGATATAATTTACAGATCTAACATTGCTGGGCTGTTATTTAGACGAATTATATATATATATATATATATAAGTACGTCTGAATCAGTGACGACTCTACAACAGATTTTATCCATCGGATCACCAGTGATGGTGATACAAGGCTGAAAACACATTCTGTATATAAAATTCGTCTAAATAACAGCCCAACAATATAAGATCTTCAAATTTGCGTTAGCAAATTTTTGTTCTTTCCTCAGCGGGATTCGAACCCTAAGTCCCTTGCGTCTGTATATATATATTCTGTCAATTTGAAATATATTTCACATCTCCTTTTTATTCATAGTATAAGAAAAACGCGTGTTTTCTCAATTACGTCTTCCTAGACTCAATGTATGGTGGTGGTGGTGTGTGTGAGCACACTAACGATGGCTACCATATTACAATAACGACATTTTGAATATTAGTTTCGCTTACCTATGTTGTAAGATGGTGGTGGTTCTACAGCATCCATAACGATAACTATAATATTATATTGTATTTTTTCCTATTAGTGAATTGTAGATATACATTTATATCAAAGTATATCTCTTTACATATCTCTTTACATATATATATAGATGTACCATAGTTATCTTATCAAATTATTTAATCATATGACAATATTTTGTAATGAAACAAAATGTGCGATTTGTAATGAAATACAATGTACGATTTGTCACTGTGCAGATTACACAACATTTGGGTATTTATGCATGATCATGATCACATTTGAATACTCTGTACTATATTATCCAGGGTTTACAATGTGATATAACTTTCTTTACCCTATTTTGATAAGACATGCAGTGCATGGTTGATCTTTGGTCTGGGCTTTTGGTAAATACCTGGAATTAAAATTTTCACGACCCTCCAAGTGATTCAATCTGATTAAAGTCAAGATCTCTGATTTCGTTATGCTCATATGAGCTTCGACGAGTAAGCGAGTTACGAAAGGTCACATTGGAAGCGAATAATAATAGCAAATGCCATTGAAAACATATTTGTTTAGGTTTAAGTTATCAAGTTATTAATAAATTCCCTCAAGAAGCATATTTTATAATATTGATGATTGATAAATTAAAATTGATCCATTTTTTTGTTGGTATCCTTTGTTTTTTTTTAAAGTTGTAAAACTTGAAACATTATATATCAAAATTGTCACTCATCATCTTATTTTGTCATTTTTAGTTAAAAATTAGAGTTTCAGTGACAGTACACACCCTTCGTTGTGCTGTAGAAATTCAGACCAATTCCAAAACTAAAGCAGTTATTAATAAATATGTATATCAACTATCAGCGTTTTGAGAACATGTTTTTCAACAAACAATCGGCATTCCCATGGGAATCAACTATGTTCCTCTTTTTTTCCGACTGGTGTCTTCATTCATATGAGGCTGACTTCATACAGGAGCTTCTTAGGAAGAATGTAAAGAATCTAGCATTATCCTTTAATATCACGTTCCGCTATAAAGATGATGTCCTCTCACTAAATAAATCAAGTTTTGTGACTATGTTGAATTAACGCATCTATTCATCGAACTTAAAATAAAGGATACAACAGATACAGTTAAGTCTGCCTCATATCTTGACTTACATCTAGAAATTGACAATTGATCCTCGGTTGAGAACAAAACTTTCCGACAAAAGAGATTATTTCAGCTTCCTAATTGTGATTTGCCATTTCTATATGTAGCAACATTCCATCTCACAGTTGATACGATATTCCAGAGCTTGCATTTTCTATCACATTTTCCTTGATAGAGGGTTGCTGCTTACAAGTAAGCTATATTAAACAAAGATTTCCAATTAGTGAGGTTAAAATCATCTTTTCGATAATTTTACGGATGCCATCACGAGTTGGTTGACTGTTATGGAATAGCTGTTTCATATAGATGACGACGGATATGTTCCAATTGTCGTAACATCCCGTCCTCTTTTCCTCATCCCCGGTTTTTGGTGGGGTTTGTCTCAGACTCACTCTTGTCTTTAGTTTTCTGTGTTGTGTTTTGTGTTCTGTAAATGTCTTTTGGTAGTTTTTCATTTTTTTGCCATGACATTGTCAGTTTGTTTTCGACTTATGATAGATATAAGAATTGGTATGAGTGCCAATGAGACAACTCTCCATCCAAGTCAAAATTTATAAAAGTAAACCATTATATAGGTCAAAGTACGGTCTTCAACACGGAGCCTTGGCTCTCACCGAACAGCAAGCTATAAAGGGCCACCAAAATTACTAGTGTAAAACCATTCAAACGATAAAACCAACAGTCTAATCTATATATAAAAAACGAGAAACGAGAAACACTTATGAACCACATCAACAAACGACAACTACTGAAGATATGAGTTTGAATATCCTTTTGGTATCTTTCGACTCTCTTTGTAAGTTTATGTTATTCTTTTTAAAAATTCATCTTAAAGACTTTTAATATAAAATCAATAATTATTATGATCAGTACAGCAGGGCGAAGCATTTCAGCAAGTGCACCCTTGTTGCTACTCATAGGTTCAGGCTAGTGGTTTTTTGCACAGACAAAATAGATTTTTTTTATCTGCCACCTACCAACAATACACCTGCACGTTTTTTTTACCTTCTGGGGGATTGAAATTCTATATAGGGTTCCACATAAAATCAATCATGATTCAGTACAGCAGACCGCGAGACATTTCAGCAAGTGCGCTCTTGATGCTAGTCATGAGCTTATATGGGGTATCAGGTCGTTGCGGCCCCAAGTCGATCCGACCCAAAGTCTATCCGTCCCAAGTCGATCCGTCCCACGTCGATCCGGCCCCATAACAAAACAATGAATAATATATATTTCCTTCGGAGGATTTTGTGACATATTTGAATCAGGATAAAAGGAATTTGTAAAAAATATCGATGCTTATATATTAATGACAGCAGGTAAGTGAAGTATGCCTAATATTTGAGTAACATTCAGATGAATTATTTTAAATCGATAAGAAAAATATGATTGGTACTGTTTGTAAAGCAGCATCAGCATATATATATGAAGTTATTTTCCATAATATTACAGGAGAAATTGTGATATTAAAGAACAACCCATCCTGTCGCCTCTTTTATAGAAAGGAATTGTATATTTAAATATACAATTCCTTGTTTGATTTGATTTGAATTCAAATATTTTATATAAAAATAATATTATATTTTTAAATATGGTGCCGGATCGACTTGGGACGGATCGACTTGAGGCGTTTTTGGCACAGACAACACACAAAATCTTGATTGCAACCTAAACGATACAAAATATGTCTTTCCAAAAACATATATCATTCTATGGTTGTAAATTGTCAATTGGAAGAAAATAGATAAGAGAAAATTTGGATAGTTTTGTAAACAATATTTTTTATTATGAACAATACAAGTATAATTATAAACACATTCACAATTAGGATTCAGAAACAAGCAACACGTGCTTATATTAATCCGTCTCCTTGATAAATTAAATACATTATACACAAATAAATCAAAACTACATGCTCTGTTACATAATAAAAATATTGATAATGTCAGTTGAGTTACATAATGAACTGAAAAGTAAAGAAAAATGCAACTGATAAGACGAAATGGTTACAGGTTTATTGTGTGAATTATTAATTTGTAAACCTTTTAGATTTAATAATGAACCTTTGTACCATGAGAAATAAACTAATGTTTTCTTCATTTGAAATCGTATTTGAGCCATTTAATAGAAATTCGGTGTCCATTGGTACCGTTAATTTTAGGCTTCCAAATGATATTATCAGCTCTTGTCTTATGTCCGAATATAATGGGCAAACAAATAAAAAATGTGAACTAGTTTCTAAGTCACCAAAGCGACATTTAGGGGAAGAAACTAAGTTTCTAGGAAACAAGTGACAGTTTAAAGAACTAATATCCATTCTTAGTCGCGCGTGAAGAATTTGGCCTTTTCGACATCCAGCATAAAAGTATAAAGGGACGCGATCATTCTGATTACAAATTTGTTTCTTAAATACAGAGAGAGATTCACAATTTCTAACACTTAACGATACAAGATGCCATAATTTGATGGATGACGGAAGGTAATAATCTGAATAAAGTTTTGTACGTGATTTGACCTTTAATAAATTATTACTTTGTCGTGTAGTGTGGTCGTGTCGACCACTGACATAGCCAGGCAATAGCTCTTGCAAATAATTTGGGGTTTTATTATTTACAATTTTATGAAGCAATATTAATTTGTGGTTACTTCTTCGATCTGAAAGTTTCTCCCATTGGGTTTCTTTATATAACATCGACGTACTTTTGAGCTTAGTCCCCCCCTGTAACTATACGAGCGGCGTCCAACTGGATGTTTCAAGTTTATTCATTAAAGATTGATTTCCTGAATCCCAGATAACATCAGCATTTTCAATGAAAGATCTTATAAACGATATATATATTGTTTCCAGGGTCAATCTATCTAAAATGTGTTTTTATTTTCCTTAATATACTAAGTGTTTTGTAAGATTTCTGTACAATATAATCAACATGGACATTCCATGAACCATTATTAGTAAAATAGACTCCTAAGTGCTTGTGCTTTTCGACTACATGTAGTTCTTCGTTATTCATGTTTAAAGGTGGGTGATAAGGTTTTGCATTTTTACGGGAAATAGTCATGGTTTCAATTTTCTTGGGGTTGAATTTTACAAGCCATTTCTGGGACCATTCATGAATTTTATTCAAATCGCTATTTAGAATCTCAGCGGCCTCTATTGGATTATCAACAGTTAAATATAGACTTGTATCGTCAGCAAAAAGCTTAATTTGGGCTTTAATATCAGTGAGTGACTATGTCATTAATAAATACCAAAAACAAAAGGGGACCTAATATAGAACCTTGTGGGACGCCAGCATTAGTAGATAACCAGTCAGAATTTGAACCATTTATAACTGCTCTTAGAGACCTTCCATTCAAATTATTTTCTATCCATTTAAGTAAGTTTCCAGATATACCATATCTCTGTAATTTAATGAGAAGACCTTTATGCCAAACTCTATCAAACGCCTTATACTTATGTCACAGAACACAACCCGTATTTCTTTGCCACTATCCAAAGCTTTACAAAAATCATTCGAAATGTCTACTAACTGATTTACAGCAGAGTCCCCCCTGGTGAAGCCGGACTAGTTTTGTGTTAGAATATTATTCTGTTTTAGGTAATTATAAATATGTTTATAAATACAGCGTTCCATACATTTTGATAAGACACTGAGAAGAGATATAGGTTGGTAATTTTTAACTTCGTTTGGTGAACTATTTTTAAAGACAGGTATGACATAAGCTTTTTTCCATTGGCTAGGAAATTCAGCTTTCCTTAACGACAAATTAAATAATTTGCAAAGAGAAAATTTTATGACCGATGAAGCTTCTTTTAATAACCTTGGATGTAACATGTCAAATCCAGATGCTTTAGAAGGATTTAGAACATTCAAGGCATCCTCAATTTCTGTTTCATTTAATTCAATTTCGTTTAAGTTGTTAGCACCATCGTTAAGGTTATTTAGGTTATCGGCCGCTATGACGTCTAAATTAGATTGTGAAGCAAATTAAGTAAGAGTTAAATTCATTTGCTTTTTCAATATCATCAAAGATTAATGTTCCGTTTCGTTCAATAGGTGGTATACCATTATCGCTAGGTTTAATACCAGAAAATTGTTTAACTGTTTTCCACCAGTTTGTGCTAGACGGATTACCATTCATAATTTTGTTTATAAGGTTATTATTGTGATCTTCTTTAGATTTTCTAACAAGTCCAGTGACTTTGTTTCTTATTTTTTTAAACTTATTCCAGTCAGATTGTTTATTAAATTTGTTTGCCTTTCTGTGAATTCTATTTTTTTTTTTTTTCCTAATTATTTTTTGAATATCATTTTTAGCCATACAGGGCTGTTTTTTCGAACTGTAATAATTTTCTTGGGGATACTTATACAGTAGCAGCTGCTTGAAGTATCGTATTTGTTATATTCTCAGTTACTTCGTCTACACTGTCGGATGGTATTATCGTGTCCCAGTCCGCTTCACTTAGACTGGCCAAAAGCGTTATTCATGATTGGATTGTATTTATAGACTTAAAATACTATATATGTCGGCTAGAACGGAACGCGGTATATTACCCGGTTAACTTGTACTTGACCGAAGTTAAATATGGACTTCTGTTTATATTTTCCACGCAAATGAGGGGCCTGATGGGGGGTCTCATCACGATTCACGAGTTGATTTTTTTGTCAATCACGATTCACAGAAAATAAATTTCCATGATCACGGATCACGATAGCCAAAATGCGCCGATCACGAAGAACGAAAATAACCCATCAGGCCCCTCGCAAATGGTCTGCCCGGCATGAACTGCTTATTAAAAACAGAGATATATAATACATTGCATTATATGTAGATATAAGAAGATGTGGTATGAGTGCCATCCAAGTCAAAATTATGTCTCTGTTAAAGATAATTGGGATATGTTAATTTAATAATAAAATTCCCATTGTATATGAATACAAACACTATGACTTCTAGTTATGATTTTCTTCCGGAAATTTTACCGTCACCGAGTTGTTTTTCAGTTATCAGCAAGTCTTTAAAATGGTTTGAAAGTTCTATTTTTTACCCCTAATCGAAGTTGAATAATAACCATGAATGGATATTTTGAACGGATTTCCTGCAATTTAGCAGTACAGATATCTCATGTTTCCTGTTGTTTTAGATTAATTTAGTCCAATAGAAAGAACAGTATGATAAATAAACATAAATTCTAGCAAAAGTTAAGTATTCGTCTCAGCCGTTAGACATTCATTAAACCAGACATGAGGAAAATGCTACCAGGTATAGGCGTCATTGGAACTCCAGCATCTGTCCGTTCGTATGTCCCTCTCCTTAAATCGTGTGGATTCCAAGTAGTTGCATTATGGGGTAGAACTAAAGAAGAAGCCACTGGACTTTCTGTCGAACTTGATATTCCATTTTGTGCAGTCAAAGTTGATGAAATTCTTCTAAACAGAAATGTTGATGTAGTGGTAATTAGCTGTCCTCCCCATCTCCAGTCAGCAATTACAATCAAAGCCTTAGGAATAGGAAAGCATGTTTTATGTGGTACACCTGCAGGACCTAGTCAACTAGATGCATTAAAAATGGTAAATGCAGCCAGTTATTATCCAAAGCTAATGTCTCTTGTAGTCTTTGGACTTCGATTCTTACCTACAATCTCTAAACTGAAACAGTATATTGACAAAGATTATATAGGGGACATATCAATTTGTGAGATACGTATTCATTATGAAAAGAAACCAAAAGAACATTTTGATTGGATGTGTGATGAAACCATGGGAGGAGGTGTTCTAAACACTATAGGAAGTAATATCATAGATTTAGTAACACACCTTACTGGTCAGAAAGCTGTGAGAGTACATGGTATGCTGAAAACATACACAAAACAAACTGACAAGATTAAAGGGATCCGTGAAATCACCAGTGATGATTTCTGTTCTGCGCAACTAGAGTTGGAAAATGGATCTTGTGCTACCTTAACAATTAATAGTCACATCCATGGCCCTTTTAACCAAGAAATAATGCTAGTAGGAAGCAAAGGTAGACTTACAATCAGAGGAGCAGATCTCTACGGTCAGAAAAATGACTCTTTGAAGGAGGAACTTCTGCATTTTGATCCAGTAAATTTCAAGGAGGAACAACGTTATGGCGTATCAGACAAAACTAGAGCTGAAATTCCAACACCATATTTGAAGGGAATCATCAGATTAATTGAGTCAGTCAAAGATGCTTTTGAAAAAGAAGAGGAAAGGCAAAGCTATTGTCAAGACCCTGTTAAAGTCGCAGCTAACTTTGAAGATTCTTTATATGTTCAAACAGTGGTTGATGCAATAAGAAAGTCAAACAAATCAAAAGAGTGGATCAAAATTGACATACTGAAAGAAGAGCCTGATCCCAATCCATTTTTATCTACAACAATTAGAAAGAGCACCCTAACATTACATTAACATACATGTACATGTACATGTATATACATTTACAATGTAGAGTTTGTACAACTGGTTTATTTACAACTATTAGTGTAGATTATGTTTTCATTGCAAAATGTGAAAACAAATTACAAATGGTGTTTTCTTTTCATTTGAATTATCAAGTTGAGTAAACACATTAAGTTCCCCTAGGCTTCAAACATATTAGATAAATTTAGTCATAACAGTTGACAATTATATTATTTTGGGTGTGCACTGGTTTCTTACAATGTTCAGTAAATGATATTATAAAATGTACATGTAACATCACAAAAATCATCTTATAAATATTTATGTAAATTAACATGATATATAACTATAAATGTTCTATTCAAACTTACTACAATGGATAAAAATAAATGTGAAAAAAATAAAAATACATACATGTACATGTATGTAGCTACATGTATATATGTCATAATGAGTTAAAAAAACAGGGCGTCCTTCAATTCTTTCTAGGCCGTTTTTCTCTATTCTTTATAAATTTTGCCCATTGTTCCCTATTCTTTTTATTTTAGCACCCTATGATTCTCTATTCTTTATTTTTTGAACCATTTTACTGCAGTATAAATGGCCCATTATTCTCTATTTTGTAAACCCATCCAGACCCTCTTCTATGGTTAAGTTTTTTTCAATTTAGGGCATGTAGGGGCCTTCTATGTAAATCATATAAAACAATCCAATGACGGATCAAGAAATTTTCATAAGTGGGGCCCGCTCCAGTTATGCTTCAGTGATTCCCTATATAATCAACCAAATTTTTCCCAAAAAAGGGGGGCCCAGGCCCCCCCTAAATCCGCCTCTGAAATCCTGAATAAGTAAAAATATGCAATGTTGCATACATTAACATAAACAAGAATGATTTTGGTCAATAATTTTGGAAGACATACATTATTGTTTTAATACTGCTGATATACATATACATTGTACACGTATAACTTTTTTATTGTACATGTACCAGTATACTGCATCAGAGATTTACTATTATAAACATATTGGGATCATTTGAAAATATATTGACCATATTTTTTAATCATTCTAGCTATATTTCAACAAGCTATATGTATCATAATAAAGTCTTTCTTAACATGCTGCAACATGCATGACATGTGCAAGAGACAGTACTTTGTCACCAATCTTTCCACTTTAAATGATTCTTTATTATATTTTGAAATAATTAAAACAAAAACCAACTAAAACAAATGAAAAAAATAGCTCTTTTAAATGTATGTGTACACATTATTATATACATGTGTGTGTAAACTGTGTATGGCTACAATGTACATTTATGCATTCATACAATGTATTTATATACGTGGTTTTCCTTGAATGTTTTTTGGATGAGTCCAACAAGGACTCATAATTTTGGCTATGGCAAATCTAAAGTTATGAAGTCTGTTGTATTTTCCTATTACAGTATAGCTTTCAGTGTATCTTTTTTTTCTCACTGGTCAAGACAATAAGAGGTTAGAGGTTGAAGACTTACAAAACACATGTTATATACTTGTCCTTAGACAGTAATCTCAACCGTCTGAAAGTAATTGTTGTATTTTATGTTTTCTAAGATCATTAGTCATACATGTACAGTATGTGTTGAATTCTATATAATATGTTTAGACATCTGTGAACTCAGATGTCTGTTTATGTTTAATTGTGCAGTGAGTTGCTGTCTCATTGACATTTTCTCTTCATGTCTTTGCAGAGTATTCATGGTATTATTTGCCAGTAAACTGCATTGTATTCCATAATGTTTGATTTTTTGATTTTGAATTTTTTGGCATTACATATTGAAATTGTCTAAAATAATTGAAATAAGTTTGGGATATGTGCTATTCTATCATGTCTATTGATTTCAAAGAAAAGTTGAAGTCAAAGTTGCAAACTATTGTAAGTTTTTCACATCTGTACAATCTTTCAAGTTTTGGAGTACATTTTGTAATTGCTCCCATGATAGATTTTTGAAGAGACATCAAATGACATTGTCCGAATATTCCATTTTTTGTTTTATTTACTCCTGCAATCATACCATTGAATCAACATTTAGATAAATATTATAGTTTCTAAAACAAACTGAAAAATGGATTGTGAAAAATAAGTATTGGAAAGTAAGAATTATTTTGAATGCCTATCTAATTAAAATTAGTTCTCCGCACTTGCTTCTCATTTTTGTTCCCTTGTTTATATGTCCCATGAGCGACATATAAACAACCAATCAAAAATGAGGAGCAAATGCAGAAAACTAATTTCAATGAAATTAGTTTGTTAGAATGCATGTACATTAATCAAACAGAGCCATTTACATAACAATTACTAATTATCATATCAGAACTATTTTTTGATTTTTTTCTTTTGTGTAGAATGATATTTCAATATGTATATTAATTGTTAGTTTATTTATTATATTTGTTATCCTTTTTTTTAATAGTTTATTTATTGATGTAGATCTGAATAACAAAGGTATACTCATGACAGTAAATGTAGCAGAATCATTTTACACATCTCCACTTTTTCACTTCTGTATCATAAACTTATAAATCAGTTTAGGATTTCAGAAGATAAATGGAAAATGCATGGACTTTTCTCCTTTTGAAAGTGTCACAGTAGCTATAGGAACTTATTTGGAAAGAGGAAGGAAATTTTTAAGGAAACAATTTTTGCCAATTATAACATATCTCACATACTGGATCATTGTATGGCCTTGTTCCATGTAAATAATAGTTTTGGTCATATTGCTTGGTAAATAAATGTTTAAAGGAGTACAAAAGTATTTCAAAAGAGTAGGTCACTCTGACCTACATTTTACACTTCATTGACTAAACAGACTAAAAATTCTGACTTTCTGAAGTTTTACATTTGAGCTCATTTTTCTGATGGCATGTGACCTTCAATCATATAACTCTGTACAAGGATGCATTCAAAACATATACAAACTTCCAATAACATGTAGGTCAGTCATGTGGGTCTCATTGGGGTCTAAGCGTGACGCGGGATTGCCAATTTTTTGTAAGCGTGACACGTGAAAGTCAAATTATTGTGCCGTGAAAACGGGAAATGAAGCCTAGTGGGATACGGGAAATAACAAAAAAATGAGAATTGCTTACGTACATAGTGTAAGCGGGATACAGGAATTTGACAAAACAGTAAGCGGGATCCTGGGATCAGAACCCCCCAATGAGACCCCCAGTCATTGATATAAGAAGGTGTGGTATGAGTGCCAATGAGACAACTCTCCATCCAAGTCACAATTTATAAAAGTAAACCATCATAGGTCATGCCTATCAGTGGCAGATTCAGAAATTTTCATAAGGGTCCCTACTGACTGCCTAAGAGGGGGCCCGCTCCAGTCATGCTTCAGTGATTCCCTATATAATCAACAAAATTTTTCCCACAAAAAAACCCTCTAAATCCGCCTCTGCCTATATTTTATACTTCTTTCGTTTGTTTTTATTTTAATATCTAATTTCATTTCTTATATACTTAGTGATCACATTGTTGTCCTTTTTACACTGAAGTTAAATTCACCTTAAATACCAGTTACTTTAAATCATACTAGTCATGCTAGGTTATTCAACCATTTTGTGGAAAAGCTGACCTTGTTAATGGTATACCAATTTTCCCCTTCAAATCTATCATTGGCCATCCAATATACCTATGAAAAATTTGCTAAAATAAGGTGTTTTATTCACATGAAGGGGATCTTTATAAAGGAATGGGGTTCATAACTATTATACATAATATCTAATTTAAGTCATAGATCAGCTCTAAAATAATAATCTTTGACAAGCAGATCACAATTTAATATGCTTTGTCATTTGTACAGAACTTACTAATATAAAAATAAGATGTAGTCGGCCTTAATTTTCAATATGAACTGACTCTTGTGTTTGTATATAATTTAAGTTGAAACATCTTTATTATTGTGTAATAGCATTCAGGCAGCAGTGTTATTTAGTGTCCAATTGGAATAAATGGCAAAGAGATATTTTACATTGCATTTAAAATTTCATTGAAAGCTTCTCATTAAATTAGAATTAGTACATGTTGTTAGATCATTTCAGTATCTGAAGGTGTTTGTACCCACAAATCGAAAATAACTTCACTTTATTGGTTGAATTCCATTGTTTTGAACATTTTTAACCTATCATAATGTTTTAGTGCACACTATTGAAAATATTCCCCAGAATGCATTAATTCTGAAACAGCCAATTCAACATCTGTCAATCAACACCTGACAAAAGCCTGCTGTCTGATTTAATATTTTAAGGGTTTTCACAGAATGTAACTACAATACATGTAAGTTAAATTCAAGCCAACATTTAAAGCATTCATTAAAGCAAAATGTTAAAAATAAGATTGTTTTTTGAACACTTTGATAAGGCACCAACCATTCACTTTTTGTGGAAAAAGGGGGTATGTGTTTTATTAAATATAAATTTTCAAAATTTCTTGAGAAAAAAATAAATATTTATTTCCAAAGGGAAATGAAAGAAAAAAGTGTGTTTCTATTAAACAATTAAAAAAATAGAAAGCAACATTGGGTTTAAAAAAAATATATTGTTGCTGTATGATATTGAAAAAAAAATCATGTAAATTAAGTTTAAAAAATAATTGTCCCATGAACAAAACCACACTCCCACAAAATATGAATAGTTGGTGCCTTACAAAATGTAATTAACATCTGATTAAACAGTTTACCATATTACACATTATTTATAGCATTAAACATGAGACTTAATTGTGTTTTCATCATGAAGTCATTTTGGAAAGGTATGAAGTTATTACCTGAAGACGATTTCATGCTCAGGCATATTTTTAGGTCCACTATCATCTAGTAGTACATATACTGTGAAAATTGATAAAGCCTGTCTTCTTCTCTGTGCAGTTATGCAATATCCATATATTTTTTGTGTTGAATGGCTTTTTTTTTTTTTTTTTTTAAATTCTGTTTTAAAAGTTTAGAAGTCAAGACATGAGGGTTGCATTTAAGACATCAGCCTCAATAGTTGTTAAATTGATTATGAGAAGGTCACTTAAACAGGAACTACTTATGGTAAGTTGTTGAATTTTTATGACAATTTTGAACGAAATCATTAAGAACTGCTCCCCTTTTCATGGTAAATTTACTCTGAAATCTTGCATAGTTTTGTATGTCAGTGTTTGATTTGGTCATATTTACCCCTTTTGGTAAGTTAAAGATATGTGATAGCAATTTTTTTGCATCTCATTTCAATGGATATTATTTAATCCCACCTTTCAGTCATAGTCCATTGATTTTGAAAATTGTACATATTTGTGAAAGTTGAACTTATGATTATGACTATGATATTAGATATAAGTACTTGACTGATTGGTTGCTGTTTGCTTTATGTCCAGTGGCAATTATTTCATGCATATTCAGGACGAGAAACTATTAACAATTTTAAACTACAATAAGTAGGTTTTGCAAGGTGAGTCGACAAGGATGAGTGGCGTGGAATTTTGGACTGCAGCTAGAAAATAATGATATGTTGGCCAGGGGCAGACATGTTGCAATGAAACAGGTCACTTACAAACCCTTCAAAATGTTTTTTCAATGGTTTTGTTTTACGTACATAGAGCGTGACATTCTCTCTAAACGAGGAATCAAGTATAATGTCCCCCTTCTGCCCGAACGTGACTGCCAATAAATACATCCCGCATAGCCAAACGGACGACCAACTTTGGCAAGCCAGGGTGTTACAGCCAGTCGGAAGAAGACCAAGGTGGCCATATATTTAACCCCGGTCAACGTTGGGGTACAGAATAACTTGACAAATGGTATGGAGCTCTGTGAGCTAGCTTGAACCATCAGATTGCATTGTTTTAAATTTTGCTAAAACAGACGTGAATGTGAAAACCAATCCGGTTGCGTGCAAAGGTATACCGGGTCAATCTCGGCCTCATATCGAAAGAATTACTGTCGGAGCAGTGAATACTGATCCCGACTGTAATAAGTTCCGGAGTTTCTGTGAAATCCAAGGCATTGCCAAGTGTGATATAAAGTTTATACTACAAGTTGCAAGTACTTTACTCATCAACCAGTGAATTCGTTTCAAGGAAGATTTTAAAGATTCTTTGACATCTAACCGTGAGTAACTTGTAGTAACAAAAGAACACATTTTTAGCTGGCCTGGCCCGAAGGGCCAAGTGAGCTTTTCTCATCACTTGACGTCCGTCGTCAGTGGCGTAGGCTAGCCAGGGTTGAAATGATGTGGATGCCAAACTGTCAGCGAGCGGAGCGAGGCAAAAACATTTTTGGACCATTTTTGGTAGAAAATTATATTTTTTCAGACATTTTTCCTGTAAGCACATGTACTCCACCAGAATCCGACACTGGTTAGATTTTTGTTAAATTTCAAAATACCCACCAATTCATATTATTATATTTCCAACTGTATTTTATTGTTTTCTCGAAACTACCGTCATTTAATTCATAAATATTTGATATAAAAGTTTCCAACCTAATCTTACATTTGACATTTCAAAAACGGACCCGTAACTGTGGCACTTCTGTATAAGGAACTTCGGAATATAGGTACTGAACTGACCCCCCTTTCCAGGAATTTGAGTCTCCCCATGGAGATTTTGATTTTGATTACTTGGCTTAACGCGTTGCAGGAGACATGGAAATACCGGGCGTCTGTCCGGTCTTGTTAGCACTCTCAATTCTTGTAAGATTTTTATGAAACTTATATCAGCAATGTCTTTGACACTTTCGAAAATAAGTCGTCAAATATTTTAATGACCCTTTGAAATATAAAATATAATGGAAATCCCATTGCATTCAGGGGCGGATCCAGCCATTTATAAAAGGTTGGGAGTTCCTAACCTAGGATAAAGGGGGGGGATGGGGGTTCCAACTATATGTCCCCATTCAAATGCATTGATCGTAAAAAAAAGGGGGTTCCAACCCCCGGACCCCCCACCCCCCTGGAACCGCCACTGGCATTTGCTCTGAAGCTTTTATTTCTCTTAAGATATTAGAAATAAAATTAAAAGGAAAAAAATGTTTTTTTTTAGTTATTGCCCTTGTTCCTTGGATAGAATAAAATATGAGCAATGCGGGGGACATTGGAACTTTGTTCTTTTATGAGTCCCCTTCCGACGAAGTCGAAGGGGACTTTAGGTTTGCACTTCGTTTGTCTGTCCGTCTGTCCATCCGTCAGTCCGGCAAATCAGCTTTCCACACTTTTTTCTTCGTTCTTGAAGATATTGATTTGATATTTGGTATATAGTTTTATCATGACAAGTTATAGATCAAGTGCGAATTTTGTTCCGGTCTGATGATTAAGTCCAGAGTTATGGACCATATCTAATGTTAGAGTACTATGTTAAACCATATTTCTGTACAAAGGGAGATAACTCATTTTGTAAAGACATTCTTTGTTAAATTATTTGAAGAATTTTTTGGAAGGTTTGTTTGTTTATTGAGTATAAACTAATTTTCTTAATGCTATATATATATATAAAATTATGAAGAGAAATCCTTTAATTAGATAATAATCTATTTTTATTAATGTATATATTTCAATACATTACATTGTGTAGATAAAAGTTGTTGACATTTTATAGATAAGTTACAAATCTATATTAGTTTGTGACAAATTAAAGAAAAAATATTTGGAACTATTAATTATATTTGATTATAATTTGAAAATAGATATACACTGTATTACATCATATCTAATTTTAGAGAACTATTAATCATATCTATGTTTTTTTCACTCATATTATCAGTTTTCCACACTGTTTTTTGTCATGCTTGAAGATATTGACATGATATTTACTTTTTGTTAACACCATGACAAGTTATAGAACAAGTTAGCATTTTGTTCCAGTAAAATGATTTTTTACCCGGTAGGGGACTTTGTATTGCCATGCAATACTTTCAGGATGCTTGTTGAAAATAAAATTAATATTTGTACCTAGATAGAAACAGGAATTTATAAGCCTAGGAAAGATCACACTATTAAAAATTGATTTTTTATCACGTCGTCTTGCATGTCACAGGAAACGATATCGGGATATGGTAGTTTAGTTGTTAGTAACGTTGCTATTCAGATGTAGAAGTCGTCGCTCCGCTAGGCTCAATTTCAGATGAAACATGTCCGCGGGTCTGCGTATCATCATCCTCTGCGCTTGCCCCAGCCGAAGACGTAGACTTTTTACGAAAGAAGTCGAGAACACTTTTCTGCGATTTATCCAACTTGTTTACCAAAAACAAATTATCCTAAATGAAAGACCACGTATACTGCTTCGGAAAAGATTGTACTGTATCCTCATATCCTGAACCTTGTTAAATTTTTATACCTCCGAGTTTCAAGCAGTGAAAGCTTAACTGCTGCGAACACATATTTTTTTGCTGATGTCAAAATGATGTGGATGCTTGAGCATCTGAGCATACATGAAGCTACGCCACTGGTCGTCGTCGTCCTTTGTTAAATTTTACAAAATTTTTCTCTCTGAAACTACGGAGCCAAATTTTTTCAAACTTGGCCACACTCATCATTGGGGTATCTAGTTTTAAAAAGGTGTCCGATGACCCCGCCTGCCAACCAAGATGGCCGACATTGCTAAAAATAGAACATGGTGGTAAAATACAAGTTTTGTCTATTATTTTCAAAACCGTTATTTATAGGAGTGATTGCCCTTAAATGAGGATTTTTTTACCCTCTTTTGTGTTTTGAGCAAAAACTAAAGAAGATAAAGAGAAACTAACCAGACTAAATGATCAGCAATACAAGATAAAAAAAAAACAGATTTTTGTCATGACATCTATTCTCGTCTACAATGTTGAAGAGTGTCCTTTGTTGAATATGCACATAGACCAAGATGAGAGACAAAGGCTCTTTAGAGCATCTAGTTTTTTCATCAAAATACTTTTTTTTATTTTTCGATTGTCCAATTCATTATGCCGTGTTATATATTTAAAAATCCAATTTGAGCTATCACTTTATGTCCGTCGCCTGTCAACTCGTCCGTTAACTTACAAAAATCTTCTCTGAAACTGCTGTCTACTGGGCCAATTGGAACCAAACTAGGCCAAACTCATCATTGTGGAATCTAGTTTACAAATTTGTCCAATGATCTAGCCTGCCAACCGACATTACAGACATAGCTCACATATGACATTGGGATACAATGTTTGTCAATTGTCTGACAATGCAGATATTTTCAGAATATCAAATTCTGTTCCTACTATCAATTTCGTCAAGGATTGTTTGACTACTTATCGGAGTTATTGCACTAAAATGGAGATTTTTTACCTTTTTTATCATTTTTGCCTTTTATCATATTAACTTTAGTAGAAAGAAAAACTCTGAACCACATAATGATCAGCATGACAAGAGATACATGCAAGTTAAAATAGCTGATATTGTCAGAGGACTCCTGGTAGGAGTAATTGCCCTTTTATGGCGATTGTAACATTTGTTTTACGTTTTGGTAAAAAAATAAAAGAAGATAAATAGAAACTGTTAACAGCAAAATTGATCAGCGAGACACTGAGACAATACCAACAAGGCGGAAATTGTCAGTCTACTTCTTCCAAGAGTTGTTGACCTTGAATGATGGTTTTTACGACTTCTTTATGCTTTGAGCAAATCTTTCATAGATATAAAGATAAAGTGTATACAGAAAAAAATTTCAGCAACACAAGGTCGGGATAGGGAAGGGAAAGAGGCTTTCGATTTTGGAATCAACCTGTCAAGGTTACTG